CAACAACAACAACATATTCCTTTATTTTAATATTAGTATTTAAAAAAATATTTTTTTATGAAAATTATTTGAATATTTGTAAAAAAATTGAGTTTCATGAATTTTTTCAATAAATATATTTTGAAATACTGAAAATATAAATAAGATTTTTTTTATTTCGAATTTATAAAATATTAACTTTGGAAATAATATATATACATTTGGTAATTATTTAATGATTGTGTAAATGTAAAATAGGAAAAAATTTAAAAACATCCATAAATAAAAATGCCACCTAATCAATTGAAGAATCCACCTCATCAATTGAACTCCAACTAAGCAATTTTGACAAATGACATCATCATTTGCCACATGTCAATCATTGAGGGCAAAGATCCTCTTTTTATATTATATATATATATATATATATATATATATATATATATATATATATATATATATATATATATAGGAATGGAAATTAAAGTTGCAAATAGCAAAATAAAAAACTTTGAAAATACAAAATAGAGGTGGTTTTCAAAGTCTCGAACTCTGCACCTCTTAGAATTTGTAGGTAGAACTTTACCAGTTCAGCTACAACACCTATTCAGCAAATTTTACATTTACAGTTACATAATATATAAATATATAGGGAATATTTTTTTTTCAAAATCAAGGGTGTGCAGTTGCACACCCTAGGACTACACTAGATACGCCACTGGACGTGCGTTGCACGTCTTGTGTTAATTTAATTGGGTTTTTTTTGGGCATATTATTCGATCAAAATAATAATACAAATTAAAATATCGAGGTTATTTGGAGTATATTGATATTATTCATTAGTCAAACTTTGTCTAATATTACAATATGTATAGATTCATAATTTCTACTTATATTTGTGTTCAATATTCCATTTAGTATGTTTTTTTTTCTTTCATCTTGAATTGTTTTCACATTGATTATCATTGGAAAATGTTGTTTACCCATTTCTTCTTATATGTATTAGTTTTTTCTTGCAACTTCTTCTTGGAACATTATCATATTTTCTTGGATAGATAGATTATTATTGTCATTATTTTTCTTTTTGAAAATAGAATTTATTGACCGTTAAAAGTTAAGGTATTTATAGTTTAACTTTTAATGTTATCATATAAAATGTTTAGATTCATATAATTTCTATTTATATTTGTATTCATGATTCAATTAATTATTTTTTATTTTCCGTATCTTAATTTTTGTTTTCAAATCTTGAAGCGAACTCCAAAATTACATCACAATAATTTTGCAACAATACCTAAAAATCCCTTGAAATTGCGGAATGGTAAAACGATGAAGAAAATCGCAATTGAGGGGTGAAAGTGTAAGTTGAATATATCTCCTTATTTTAACAATAACCTTACAATTTGGGGACTGAGTTGAATTTTTTTTAAAGATATGAAACAAAATTGGTTGTTCAACTACTCCACCGAAATAATGTGGACATGGAATAGAAATATAGTCAAATACACTGATTTTCCTGATTTATAGGTTAAGAAGACTTCTCATTCACATAGTAAGCAAGAAAAATTCTCAAAAGTTTGCAAGAATAACATTGATTTTATTGATCCATTTCCCCGAACCTTTTTTTTCCTTTTCATTTTTTTTCTTGCTAAATTTCGACTGAGTGAAATAATATTTTTTTGTGGGTCATCAATATCATTGTAGTAATGTTTTTCACTGACGTGATTAATTTTTGTACAAACTTTCTTCAATTTTTTTTTTGTAATCTCGAGAACTTGCCTCAAAATTTACAATTTGAGTCTAGCCTGAGGGTTATTATATTTGTTGTTGTCAACAAATACTTACGTGGTCTAGAAAATTTGAAGTCAAACCAGTCACCTAAGAAATGAATATATAACAAATAGAAGCCAACATAAAAGAGGTAAAATAAAAAAAAAATTAATATATAAGTTTTATTTTGCGTGTATTCTATATAATAATTAGCGGAAATTATGAAAACCCCCATGAGATAAAGCCTAATTAAAAAAAATTCCCCTCATGTTTGTGTAGTTACAAAATCCTCTTCTGACCAGCGTTTGACCGTTTAAATTCACATAAAATGTATCTTGTTTGTTCTACCCTTTTGTTATTTGAAAAACAATAAATGACAAATTACGAGAAACCCTTCGAGTTAATGTCAGGTATGTTGTCGTCTTACACATGCCCCATATGGTGTTACTATTGACGAATAAGAAATATTTTTATAATTTATTTATATTTAATATATAATTTTTAAATTTTATTTGTTTAAAATTGAAATATTATTAGAAATTTATTAAAGTCATTCCCGTCACCGTGCATATCGGCATTGTTGGCACTGAAACCGCAAAATGCGAAGAGCTATCTCTTGAAAATCGATGTAAGATGCTATGTAGCCACCGATGGTTCCTGTCTGATTCTCCACATTTTTTATGGTTGTAGATGGTGGTGGCCGTGGTGGATCATGGCGTGACCTTATTTTTGGTATGTCTAGAGCATGAAACAAATTAAAAAAATATATGTAATTTATCTTTAATGCCGTTTTATTTAAACAAAAATTGTTTGGGGTATAATGAATGTATAGTCAAGACTTGAGACTATACAAATTCTCAAGTCAATAAAGTTGCAATTAATTAAATATTAATAAATACATTATGAATTAGTTGAACAATCATTAGGAATCAAACAGTTTTTCCTTATCAATATTGAGTATTCCTGAATTATAGAAAATTTATTCATTCAGATTACAATTTATTTTTATAAATAAATTAAACTAATTATTTATTTATTTATATTACTCGTACTTCTAATCTTACATATTATAGTAATTACTGATTGGCATAGATAAAATTATGAATTTTATAAACTATTTTTTTTATTAGTAAACATAGATATTCAACATTCGGAGAGTGATAAAAATTCTTCAACTGAAGAAATTTGATACTAATTAATTAAATAAAGAGTTTTTTTAATTACGTTTTAGATAACGATATATGTAAAGATAATTAAAACTAATTTTAAACAGTTATGTTGGTATTATTTTTTTCCTTAATTCTATTGTCCGTGCATCTAGATTTTTTTTATATAAATTGACATTAATAATTTAAACTTGTCCATACTATATTTGGCAATAGTTAATGATATACTTATTTAATGTCATAAGATAATATTAATTTATAATAATTAACAATCAGTTTATATTACTCAATTGGCCTTAAAGGTTTGAACTTGCCAAAGGGTATTTTTGTCTCTTCAAAAAATGGAAGAAACCACCATAGGATTCCTCCTTTTATAAGTAGTATAGATATAGATTTATGCCATAATTTTCATTTGCATTTAATTTTGGATAAATTAAGGTCACCCCTAAAGTAAGGTTAAATTATGAAAAAATCCTTATATTTTGGTAATTATAAATTTACAACCTCTCCATCAACTATCAATCTTCTTACACTTCCATCCTTACGGAGTCAAATTTAGTAGAATCTTCTAGATTATGTGTGAATATTCTCCAGTTTGTACATGTTTAATTACCTCATTCGAGCTACACATTTTGAAACAAGATGATCATAAACTGTGTCTCTTAGCTTGTAAATATCAGATTGTGGTATATCAGAAACTGCATTTTTGTACAAAACGAGTACAAACTAGACAACATTCCACATAATTTAGAAGATTTTGTTGGGTTTGACACTATTAGGATAGGCGTGTAAAAAGATTAATAGATGAGGGAGGTGGTTGTAATTATCAAACATGAGGGGTTTTTTCGTAATTTGACATTACCTCATTAACTGAGGGGTGGTTGTCCAAATAATGTAGTCATGTGTACGTAAACATTGAGTAACATAAACTCATTCTCCGGCGGCCGGAGATAGGGTTGGACAGCAACAAGTTGCAGGTTCTGATGGAATTCAAGCGGCAAGGGCCGGAGCTGGTCGAGGGTTCATTTTCCGATCACCGGAGCTTGGTTGGAAGCAGTGAAGAAAGTTGATGTGGTGATCTACGCAATCTCCGACGTGCATTTCAGGAGCCACAATTTGTTGCTGCAGCTTAAGCTTGTTGACGACTTGACGCCATTAATGAAGCTGGAAATGTTAAGGTACAGAGGCGTATATACTATACTTAATTTGGTTTGATTTGGTTTAATTTAGTAATTAATTATATATGCAAAAATATATATTTATAATGAAACCGTTTATTTTATATAAAAAATATTATTTTTAGAGTAGTATAATGAAGATGGCATACAGTAACAAACTAACAATGTGGAGCAAGATTTGAAGAAGAGGGTTTTATAGAAATGAAAAGGACTGACCTAAAAATTTTGAAAATTTCATTTAGGGGCTTATAAAATTTCAGGACGAATTTGTAATTTTCAAAATTCTGAATTTTAAAGGTATTTTTGACTTTTCATGTAAGAAACACACCTCTAGCCGCACATTCCGCGATCGCACCACACGAAACGCTGTCAGAGGATTTTGTTTTGCCTTTGGCTAATTTTCATATGGTGGCATGGCTAATTTTTGTAACACAAGGGTTTTTTGGCAATTAGAGATTATATAGGGGTAGTTCTTGCAAAAAAAAACCACATTTTTTTTTTATGTATGTTTAGAATTTTGAAAATTAGAATGAAAAAAAATGTTCCAAATTCAAAAAATTTCAGACCAGAATCGGAATCCTATTTTTATTATGCCCCTATAATATAAAATACATAATAATATTGATATTATAACAGCAATTTTCAGGAACATTTGAAATTAATTAATTTACTTTCGGAAATCAAAGTGCGATGGGTGAACAAATTCTTGTATATTCCAATTTTGATCCAAAAAAATATTGGAAAAATCTACCCACAATCTTGTTAAACGAGCCTTCGAGTCCGATTGGAATGGTTTTGTTTCTGCGAATGTTATTCCTTTTTCTTCTTTTTGTGACTTTGGGGCACGTTTGTAGACTATTATTCCTCTTGAATATTGAAGTTCTTTTATTATTAAAAAAAATTGTACAGGTGCGGAATGTGTTGTATGTTGTGCCAATCCTCCCCAATTTCTCTCTCACATCTCCTCTCCAATTCCGGGCATTCCATCACTAACATGAATTGGAGATTTGTCATTCCCCGGATTCTAGTTGGAAGTGATGTTACCTTTGGGCACTCTGAAATAGTCAACTCTTCAAGAGACGTGAAATCTCCCAACCATTCCGGCAGTGAACTCTGCTCACAAAGAGTGGATAGGAACAAACACTGGAGTGAGGATGAGAGGTGTTGCAATGCCTTGAGTAGATACACCATCTTTGGAAGACTTTTGAGCTCGACTTTTGCAAGGAATTTGAGGTATCTAACCTCATCTGGCAGCTCAACAACTCCGTCGCATTGAAATATGTCTAGTTCCTCCAGAGCAGTGAGGTGTCGCAGCCACCCTTGAGGCAAACCCCCCATCAGTTTCCGACAATAATTTACGGACAAACTTGTAAGAGATTTCAAGGCTCGCATCCCTTCTTCCGGCAGAGACCGCTCATCTGCTTCCCAAATCTCCAATTTCTTGAGATTGGCGAGGCTTTCAAGTGTCTCAACTGTAATACATTTGCACGTATTTGTGAAGTGCACGGTCAGATCAGTAAGAGTTTCCAGCTTAGACGACAATGAAGCCAGATTTAAGCTGCCGCATTTCAATTTTTTCAACTTTTTGAGAGATGTTGAGAGTGGTGGTAGTGCTAATGATGAGAACCATCCAATATCTAGCTTCTCGAGATTTGGGAATGCTTCAGCTGATCTCATCACTTGCTCTTAAAAAACAACCCTTTGAAATTCGGAAGCCCACATAAGTACAAGCTTTCCAGAGATGGGAACTGTTGTACGCTTATTAATGTATTTGCACTTTGAACTACTTCTTCCTCAATCTCAATAATGTACTCCACCCGAGCCAGATTCTTCACACTCAAGGTTTTAAGATGAGGTAGCTCTCCCAGTTGCGGAAGATGCATAAAACTCTCACAGAATCATATATCAATTCGAACTACTTTCTTCATAGTTGAATTTGACATCCAAACCGGAAAACACCTACCCCTGAATCGAATCGAATATGGCGTGCCTGTTGGTTAAAAGACAGAGACAAAAAAGAAGAGTAAAGGATGTGTCAAAGCTAACCAATTTATCAGAGAACAAAAAATAGTTGCAGAAATACTAAATTTGTAAGCATGATAAAAGGAAAGAGATTTAATGGAGCTACATACCAAAGAAGGAGAAGCCCTGCAGCTGCCAATTAGCGAACCCCGATACCAATGTAGAGGTGGGGAATATGTGCTATCTTGTGCCAGTCCTCTCCCTTTTCTCTCTCACATCTCCTTTCCAATTCCGGGCATCCACGCACTTTCAGATATTCGAGCTTTGTCATTCTCTGGATACTAGCTGGAAGTGATGCTACCTTTAAATTATCAAACACTTTGAAAGAGCTTATAAGCTCTTATTAACATCCGATACGCTATTCTTAGCCAAAACACCCTCTTAATTTTTGGTGAACTTGATATTATCATTCACCATTTGTGGTTGGTTGAAGGTTTTTCAACATTAGCTTGTACAGAATACTGAATATTTTATTTGAATAACAAAATGATTCAAATTGTAGAAACAACTAAGAATTACAAGTTTACTTCTATTGCCAAACTTACATTTTGAAACAGCACCATTAACCAATATCCAGCCTGGGAATATGTTGTATCTTGTCCCAATCCTCTCCCTTTCCCTTCAAACACCGCCTTTCCAGTTCGGGGCATTTCTCCACGCTCAATAACCGAAGATTTTTCATTCGTCGTATACTAGCCGGAAATGAATCTATCTTCGGGCACTCAGCAATATACAGAATTTGAAGTGATGTCAACTTGTCCAACCACTCGGGCAGTGAACTCAGCTCCGGAAGCCCGAGAATGAATAGCGTCTTCAGTGAGGAGGAGAGGTTTTGCAGTGCTTCGGGCAAACACGCCATCTTTGCGAGATCAATGAGCCTGAGTTCTTTAACACATTTAATCCCCACTGGAATCTCTACCAGTTCTCGGCATTTAAATATCACTAGCTGCTCCAGAGCGGTGAGGTGCGGCAGCCATTCCTCAGGCAGACACGTCACCGTCTCACATTCACTTATCCATAAACGCGAAAGACATTTCAACGACCGCATACCTTGTTCTGGCAGAAGAGACGTATCACGCGCTTTAGAAACTCTTAGTTCCTTGAGATTGCCGAGGTTTGCAAACGTCTCTATCGAGATATTGCATGTCGTCGTATTCTCCTCAAAGTCCACGCAAAGATGAGTGAGAGTTTTGAGGACCGTCTTGGACAGTGAAGCCAGAGTTGAGCTACTGCAATCCAATCTCTCCAATTTCTTGAGTGGTGGCAGTTTAAACGAAGAGCATTTATCGATCGTTAGCCTTTGAAGATTTGGGAATGCTTCGACCGGTCTCGTCACTTGCTCCTCTCTCAACAACCCTTTGAGATTCGGGAGACACGACAATTCAAGTGTTTCCAGAGATGGGAAATGTACCAGGCTTATTAATCCACTGTGAGGTGGTTGATTTTCCTCGCTAATGTACTCCACCGCCGCCAGATCCTCTAACCTCAATGATTTAAGGTGAGGTAGCTTTCCGAGTTGAGGAAGGCGCAAGCAGTTTTGACAAAACGATATGTCAATTTTGACTACCTTGTCCACGGTTGAATTCGACATCCACGCTGGAAAATGGCTTCCCCAGAATCCTTTTATCTCTAAAATTTCGAGATTCGGGTGAGGTTCGAGCCCTTCCAACACATTTTCATCTCTCGCTTCTTCCTCCGATGATTTTGACGGAGTACGGTCAGTTTTCCAGAACAACTTCAAATGAACGAGGTTCTTTTTCTCGGCAAGATTTGCCTTCTTTGCATCCATAGGGTTCTCGACTCGCTCCAGATGGCGAATTGTAATCCTGCCCCCAATGTCCAAGTGTTGCAACTCCTCGAGGTGATAGCCTTTGCGATGCCCCACAATGAACTGACCCAGTGATTTGAGTCGTTTAAGTTCTCCGATTCTAGAAGGCGTCTCCTTCAGCGAGTAGCATTTTACCAAAAATAGATGGCGGAGATTGATCAGGTACCTCAACTTCTTCGGCAAAGCCACGAGCTCTTGGCAGTCGTCCAAATTCAAAACTTGCAAATTCCACAGACCGCACAATGACTCGGGCAGTGTGCGGATTTTAGTTCCGGACAAATTCAAGTGTCGAACGTGCTTGAGCTCGCGTATTGTAGAAGGCAAACTTTGTATCCCTGTCATACCCGCATCGAGTACTCTCAAACAAGAGAAATTCTTTAAGATGAAAGAAATGTCCATCTCTGGTTGATTACTCTTAGGGAAGGCAACGGACTTTTCCCGCAAATTCACCTGGCGGATTTTGCTGGTAGACGATGCACTACTGAAGTTTGTGCTTTGGGCTTGTGTTCCAGGAATTTTGCTCTCCATGATTGATTGGGCGAGATCGTGAATAAGATCGTGCATAACGAGAGTTGGTTCGTTTGTATCAGGATGTATAACATACTGCAAAAGGGATCTCCGAACTAGCTCATCGCATATTTGATTGCCGACATCCTCCATTTCAAGTACACGCTTTGATGAAATATATCCATGCGCCATCCACATAAAGATCAGTTCTTTTTTCGAAATCTTAGAATCCTTGGGAAAGATTGCACAATAAGCGAAGCACCGTCTCAATTCAAAAGTGAGATGATGGTAACTCAGTTTCAAAGCTGGCAGTATCGAAGTTTCTGTCTGAGGCAATTCCCATATTTCACTTTCTTTCACATAATTCCACTCTTTCTCTGTCCTCATCAACCGCAACACACCTCCGAGCGTCTTAGCAGCCAGAGGAACACCGGCACACTTGTTCGCAATCTGCTTCCCGATGGCTTCCAGGTTTGGATATTCATCTTCCGTCTCTCCGAATGCTTGTTCACGCATCAACATCCAGCAATTCTCTTCCGACAACCCCATCAAGTCATGTGCTGAAACAACGGAACGTGTTATCATCATATCAGCAATCTTTTGGAGGCGTGTGGTAACGATAATTGAACTCCCGGTTGAGCCACATGCCACAACGTTTTTCAATTTATCCCACTCGCCTGGATCCTCGTTCCAAACGTCATCCAATACAAGCAAGTATTTTTTGTTGTTGAGTAATTTCAAGAGGCGGTGCTGTAGGGTATGCATTTCCACCAAATCTGTGTTTCTCGTGTTTTTCTCCGGGTCATCTTCTTCAACAGATTCAATCATCGCCTTCAACAACCTCTTCTGATCAAAATTGTCGGAGACACAAACCCATATTCTTTTATCGAAATGGTCAACGACGCGTTGATCTTTGAAGACTAATTGAGCAAGTGTGGTCTTTCCAAGGCCTCCAACACCAACTATAGGAAGAACCGAGACTTCTTCATTGCCGTTGACCTGGTTGACCAAGATGCCAACAATCTTCTCGGCATCTTCTTCCCTGCCGTAAACAACACGAGACACATTCAATATCGAACCAGTCTCACGTGTGGCAGCAAACTCGATCGGCCTGTCGACAGACATCTCGCGCAAATGGAACTTCGAACGCTCTGCAGCAACCGCATCCAGTTTCTCCGTGACCTGCTTCATCCTTGTCCCGATTTTGCGCCGGAAGAGAATTGTCTTCAAGCTATAGCGATTTAATTTGCTGTTTCTGTGCTTCGATATAGAGAATTGTGTAGCACACTCATCCAATACGTCGTCAATCTCGTAGATAAGGTCATGGAGCTTGAGTAGCCAATTCTGAATGGCTCTGCTTTGAAGTTGCTTCGTCTCGGCATCTTCGAGCACGGATTGAATGGTGGTGAGTGTGCTCGAGAGCTTCTTCATCTCATCACCGACACCCGTAATCAATCCAAACTCATCTTGGATCAGTGAGCTCAGATTTCAAGAACTACTTGAACCAACGCCTCTGCCATTTCTCAACTGATTGAAATGCAGAACAACTTTGACTTTTTTTTTTCTTTTTTTCTTTCTTATGGAATATGAGAAAGTAGGTTTGATGAGAAGGTAGAGCTATGCAGAGCATGTAAATTATAAGAGAAATTGCCAACAAATTCAAGGGAATAGTATGTATAGGTTGGTTCTTATTTAAGAATATTGCATGTTGGACATAAATTATTGTACAAGGCTGGTAAGTCAAATGATTAGGTATCATTAAATACTAAATTTGTTTTGTCTGAATAAAAAGATGATCTACTGAAGCACGATTGATAAATGAAAAATAATGTTTCGTGAATTAACCAAACATCGAATATTCTCTCTCAACAAATCAAGGTAAGATTTTAATTTATTTTTGTCAAACAATTCGCCAACTTTACGCAGAGGGCGGACAGCCTGGAAGCAAACACAGCAAACGCAGCAAACAGCGCGCACATGTTGGGCGCGCAGTACATTGTATTCGCGTCCAAGGTGGGCGACGTCTTTGGTGTGTCCGCTTCTACTTTAGACGCGATCCCTTTTCTTTTTTCTTTCTTCTTTTTCTTTCTTCTTTTTTTTTTTCTTTTTACTAAAAACCTTGTGAATTGGCGAATTTGCCCATCCATTCTCACGTGTGAGTTGCACAGGTGCAATTCCGGTAGTTTTTTTGTCAAAAATAGACTTTTTAGTTGTCGGTGCAACAAATTAGTAAGCTCAGGTATGAATAGTGCAATTTTTTTTGGTTTGGGAGGCAAAGGGCAAAAACGACCAAAGTAAGTGGGGCAAAGACTCTTCAAAATTATAAGAAAATGCTCTGCAAAGTTTAAGGCTACAGTTGCAAATCAAATCAAACTACTCGGTATTCGATTCGAGTTCGTTCATTAAAGACTAAAATTAATCTATGCTGAATTTTGAGATGAACATATAAACACAGATTAACAGAACAATGTTTTCAAGCCTTTTATTCATAGAGCAAAAAAGAAAAGAAAAAAAAAATCTATATTAATCAGTTTCGGTAAGTTTGTTAAATACCAGAAGCATTACACTCATCGAGCAGTTTGAGTATATTACGCTCCGGTGCACTGACAGATGGCAGAATAACGCGGTTAGAAGGAGGCCTACTTTTCCTCGAAGCAGTACCATCGGGCCCCACCGATGATGTCACCGCCACATCAGCTAGTCTCTGCGCTCCGGACGACACTCTCTCCTTCCATATTCGTCCATCCTAATATTTCATCAAACAAATATTAAAGGTGGGGAAAATTACACTTTTCATCCCTCAAGTTTGCACCAATTTCACATTTGGTGTCCCATGTTCACAAAACACACATTCGGTCCCTCTCATGTTTCAATAATTTAACACTTATGGTCATTTCCGTCATTTTACTAACTCGCAGTGACTGGCACACACTTGATTCTCTTAGTAATAACGGAAAATTGACGGAAATGACTTAAAAGTGTTGAATTTTTGAAATATGAGGGACCAAATATGTTTTTTCTAAACATGAGGGACCAAATGTGAAATCAGTGCAAAGTTGAGGGATGAAAAGTATATTTTCCCCATTAAAGGTGACAAAGTTAGCACATTTTAATCTCGAGTCAAAACGGACTTTGGATTATATGGCTTAAGACACACAATGCGATTAAAAGGATAAACGTTATTTACGTTAAGAATAGAAGGTTCTGGAAGTGGACACAGGATTGGTTGGTCGTTGTCAAGTGGCTCACTCGGCCGTTCGACCGGTTTAAAGTCAACTGCAATTTCGATACCGTGGATTGTAGCAGATGCTGTAGTCTCATTGGCTGCCGCCTCTGCGGCAGGTGGCAATACTACTTCCCTTTGATCCTGTATATCAAGAATATACGCTATAACCACATAAATAAATCCTTTGATAAAGTTCGTAAATGAGAAATTCTATTGCATAAACTATCGGAATTCATTAAACGGATGAATCAAACGCCAAAACATCGATCCGAATTAAGTATTAAGTTATTCATTAGATTGTGTGTGCAGTTAATTTCATTTGAGCATCCACATTATAATTCTGCGTACCATTAAAAAAAGGGTAAATTACAAAAAAACCCTGAACTTAGGTTAAATTACGAAAATCACCTCTACCTATTCGTAATTACCAAAACCCCCTGATGTTAGTGTGACTTTTCATGAAATCTTTTTTATTTCAAGGAATCGACTTTACACAATTTCGGATATTTTCTTTTATTTCTTACCTATTTAACAGAAGGTATATCATACTATACACATTTTCTTTTAAAATACCCGGTCGACAGTTAGTCAGATGGGGATTTTGGTAATTACGGATAGGTGGGGGTGTTTTTCGTTATTTAGCCTAAGTTCAGGGATTTTCGTATTTTATCCTAAAAAATAGAGAATTTTATTGCATTTAGTACCCCTGTGTTATATCGAATTGCTAAAAAACTCCCCATGTTTTAAATTTTAGCAAAAATGTCTCTATGATGCAGTTTTTTTACTTGACAAACACGAACACAATCACTAAATTACGGAAGCAAATAATCAATTTCGTTACAGCAAACCATGAACGCACTGAAACAATTTGTCAGACATTAGAACACACACAAGTAGAGAGAGAGAGAGAGAGAGAGAGAGAGAGAGAGAGAGAGAGAGAGAGAGAGAGAGAGAGAGAGAGAGAGAGAGAGAGAGAGAGAGAGAGAGAGAGAGAGAGAGAGAGGTGATGCTTACAATTGCACTTTGAGTCCGACGATGAACACCCCTGACAGAAAACCTCGAGAAAATTCCCACCATATTTCACTTCAACCCCCGAAAGAAACAATTTATACGAAAAAGGGCCAAGTGCTGGGCTTCTCTCTCCGGTGATGATCTGATCTATTAGGCAATTAGAGAGAGCACTTTCTCTCACTATAACGTATTGAGAGAGAGAGAGAGAGGAAGATGAAAAGTTTAAAATTGCTTGTAGTTTGGTTTTCTGTTGGGATTCTCTCTGTCTCCATTAAATATTATATTTTGTAATACTTGGAATCATATTTTTCATTTTTTATGGGTAAAATACAGTTTTGTCCCCTCATATTTCCACCAATTTCACATTTGGTCCCCGTGTTCACAAAAAAAAACATTTGGTCCCTCATGTTTCAAAAATTCAACATTTTTAGTCATTTCCGTCAATTTTTCTTTAATACTAAAGGAATCAAGCGTGTGCCCATCACTGCCTTAACTGACGGTAAATTGATGAAAATAACCAAAACTGTTAAATTATTGAAACATGAGGGACCAAATGTATTTTTTGTGAACATGGGGGACCAAATATGAAATTGGCAAACTTGAGGGATGAAAATTGTAATTTTCCCTTTTTTTATATAATCCAATTTTAAATTTCAAAAATTTCCATTGATTTTTTTAAAAAAAATCGATTTTGAAACAAGTTTTTTTTCATTCTGATATCTTAATTTGAACAAATTATTTTGTAATTTTCACTTTCGAAAAATTTGATTTTTTTTTTCCAGAAGTGGATAACTGCGATCCTATCCGATTTCCACTCTATACACACACATGTACAGATTAACGTGGCAAAATCAACCCACCCAACTTGGGTGAGTGGTGATGGATTATTCAAAGTATTCATTACAAAGTTAGGGGATGGAGTTAGATACTACTATTAATTGGTTGAAGAATTAAGTAAATGAACAAGTGGGACGAAAAGGGACAGGACTAGAATACAGTATAATCTTGATAAATTAAATAATAGTTCTTTTCAGTTCCGACTCGAGGAAAAATCTTACTAGATTATTAGTTCGATAATTTAATATTTCGCAAAATTAATTAAATTTTGCTAGTGACTAACTGTATTAATTAATAGAAGTTCAACTTTACGAAACTAAAATATAATTATGATTTGGAAAAGGGATAAAGAAGAGATGAAAAGGTGAGGTCAATGTGATATTTGTGGAATGAGGTGCCATGTGCAGTGTCTATGTGCAATAAGAAGAAGAATAGGACTTGTTTGAGGTTTGATTATTACATTTAAAAATCTATTGTTTGTTGGCTAGTTGATAATGGACACTAGCACATGGGACATAGGCCTATTTATAGGTTGCATTCGGATAGATTTTTTGTTCAACTATTTATAAATACCAAAAAAAACTCTTAATTTTTAGAAATTACATCCAGCCCCTTATAGTTTGTAAATTTCTTACATCAAACACCCTCTAAAAGGGTGTTAATGTAAGAAATATACACATTGCAGGGGTTTTAATGTAATTATGGAAAAATAAGGGAGTTTTTCATAAGCGGACATTACCTCAGGGGTGATTGTAATTTACTCTTTGTAATAGAGTTTGGTCATGTATTGAATAGATATTGTGTATTGGAACATGGGTAAATAACGGCCGCCTCTGAGGTAAGGTGAAATTATGAAAAACTCCATCATGTTTGGGTAATTACAACCACCCCCATCAACTATGAATCTTCTTACACGTCCACCTTTGCGGTGTCAAATTTAGTAGAATCTTTTAGATCATATGGAATATTTTCAAGTTTGTACCCGTTTTATCCCATTCGAGCTCCACATTTTGAAGCAAGATGATCCTAATAAGATGTGTTTTTTGGCTTGTATATATCAGATTGTGGTGCATCAGAAACTGCACACAAAACGAGTACAAACTAGAGAACATTCCACGGAATCTAGAATATTATGTTGAATTTGACACCATAAGGGTGGACATGTAAGAAGATTCATAATTGAGAGGTAGCTGTAATTACCCAAACATGAGGGTTTTTCTTCATAATTTCACCTTACCTCGGGTAGTTGTAATCTACCCATTGGAACATAGATTGAAAATTGTGTGTGCAAATATAGGCATATTGTTTTCTTTTTCATCTTTCTGTTGGTTGTGCTTAATTTTGTTGGAAGTTAGGGAACATTAAGGTAAAGAATAATATAGAGTTTCAAATTTTGTTAATTAGTGTGGGATCTGTTAAACAGAGTTGCAAATCTCATCTCCAGCTTACAAGTAATTGTTTATTGGTCAAGTAACATGGTCAAACTTGGCTCTGAATTTTTGAATTAAAACCAGTAAAACCATGTTCACGTGCATGAATTTGTCTTTACACACATCATGCACATGTTTTCTTAAATTTTCATTTAAAATAAGTAAATTTCCAATCTACCTTTCAAGCACAAAAAAATGTACACAGAACAGAGAGCAATTACAAAGTGAAAAAAAGCTGTCCAAGCAGGTTTTGCAATACACCCCTGCAAATGTCGAAATTCTCGGCGAAACTTCAAACTTTGTCAATCACATTTCAAGACTCTACAGACAGAAACTTACATGTATTATCTTATTTCTACAAACGAAAAAACAAGGTGTATTACTCGAATGACTCCGGAAGTCGGAACTCCACCTCCCACAAATTAATATTTTGCTTTCAATATAGTATAATGGAAAGAAAAAAAAAGAAAAAAAAAAAAAAGGAACCAAAACGATGGCAAAGATGCAGAATCTCGAATTTGGTCGTTTGCTCCAAACAATTTACACACTAATTACCGTTTTTTTTCTGCCCCAGTATATGCCGCCACTTTCAGTTCGAATATATGCCAACGCACGATCAACTCAGCCTCGCCCTGCATTACCATGGCGTTGGTTTCTAAAGTAGCCCAGAAGTTGTTGAGCCTACACAAGCGAAAACAAATGCAATAAATACTCAATTTAACATAAGTAAACAATAAACAGAAAAAATAAATTAATTGCGACTTTTACCTTCTCTCTAGCCCTTGGTGTACCGGATTGTGACAGTGCCACCAAAGGAGGAACAGCACCTTCTTGAAGAACCATATTGCAAAATCTACTACTATTAGTACATAATTGCAGTAAAGCAGCAGCTGCATTCTCCTTTCCTCTCCCAGAGCCCAACTCAACAACTTCAACCAAAACCGGAATTCCTCTTTCCTGACCAATCGCAGCCCTCCCCTCGTGAATAGTGGCAAGATTAGACAAAACAGCTACTGCTTTATCAACCATCCCAAAAGCAGGGTCCATCAACTCCACAAGGTGTTTCACCGCACCCGCTTGGACAATACGTGTCTTGTTCTCGTGATTGATCGAAAGGTTAAATAGAGCTGTGGCTGCATCTTTCTTGCCTCTAGGGGTTCCATTACCCAGTAAATCAACTAGTGGCTGAATAGCACCGGATCTTCCGATCTTGATTTTGTTCTCTTCAATTACGGAGAGGCTAAAGAGAGTAGCAGCAGAGTTCTCCTTAGCTTCGGGACTCCCAGTCTCGAGAACATGAATAAGGGGCTCGATTGCATCTGCATTCGCAATGGCACTCTTGTTGTTATCGTTGATCGATAGGTTGAGAAGGGCAGTTACGGCATTTTCTTGCACTGTCATGTCTGTGGATCGGAGTAGATTGACCAACACATTGATGGCCCCGCAATTTGCAATCACTATTCGATTTTCCATGTTATGCTTAGCCAGTAACCGGATATCGGACGTGGCCTTTATCTGCGCATCCAGTGAACTGCTCTTGAGATCCTCGACCAGCTTTTTGACTTGAGTTTCAATTTCTAAAAGTTCGGCTTTCATTTCAACAGTAGGTGTGGAGGCTAGCCTTGGAGCAAATCTATCTGATGGCCTTCGCCACATTGCACCACGAGGTCTTGTCTCTAGCCTAGATGGGAAACTGTGTTCTCTTGTGGGAGGGTTTAAGGTAGCAGCAGATCGGGGCTCTGTTGCAAGTTCACCAGAAGTATCACTAACGTATGCAGAAGCATGTGATGCCACTTCATTGCCATCAGCTGCAGTTCCTTGTGACATGTTAGAGTTAGAAACTGTGCTGGAGGCTGAATTGGTTCGGTTATGCCCTTGTGATGAGTCATCAACGCCAGCTCCACCATTTCTAGAAGGAGAATTCAAGGTTAGACCACCCAAATTCAAACTTCTCTCGCCTGAGTGATCTGACCTGTCATCGGAGCTTCTAGGGGACACTCGTTCTGCATCCAACACATGTCCATTTACAGTAGCTTCTGCTAAAGAATCCTCAGACAATGAATGAGGAGGAGATGGAGATGTTCTGTCTCTTTTGACTGCAATAGATGGAACTGAACCTGCAGAACCTAGAGACCTATCTGGTGTGCCAGAATTATTAACCCTCCTAACAACACCAGGCTCGGCATTTGCAAGAAGTGAAGAAGGCTGGTTTAAGTGAATGGATTTTGTTGGATCGGGCAGCTTCACGTTGTTTGATTGACACCAACTTGCAATGAGCGCCTTGACAGTATAATTCGGAATTAGATTTGAGTGTGCTAGAGTTTGCCGCGTCTTTGGGCAAACAGTAAGCCCAAGATCTATCCAGTTCCTTATAAAAACCCGTTCATACGTTTGTCCAGATGCAACAATAACAGGATCAGTCATGAGTTCAAGTGAAAGGGGACAACAAAAATCAGCAGGTATTGAAACGGGATTGCAGGTTTGGGACTGTTTCAACATAACAAGTAGGTCATGCATGTGAGTGACCAGGGCAATAATTTGATCTATATACTCAACTTCACCAGTATTTTCAGCTTGTTCAGCATTTTCCTTCAATTTCTCAAGAGCCACAGCCTCAATCAGAAGTTCCTGGTTTGAATTTAAGCCCAAGCTGTCAGCAACTTTTGCCAGGCTCTCTGAGCTAGCTCCAGAGCCCTCCACATGATCCTTGATAGCGTCCGTGATTATTGATGAGGTTGATTCAGATCCCACATGCTTGATTTTCTGTACACGGAGCTGCAAATTGCAATGCAACATTCACACACAAAATAAAAGGACGTAAACTGAGTGCCCATCTTTCAATTATATCATTGTATGTGATACTGTTTTGGAAGCATTTCATGGCTTATTTCCATTTCGTTTTGGGGAGAGATGTTTTAGGGGAAAATTTTGAGAATGAAAGTGACATCTGTTTATATTTAGGGATGAGACACAAAACATGTAGCAGTCAAATCATTGTCTAAAGGTGTTGAAGAAAAAATATTTTAGAAGAATAATTTGAAAAATAAAGTAATGTTTGTTTTTTTTAGTGAAAAAAAGCAGTTAAATCGTGTTTGGAGAAGAGATAATGTTTTGAAATTGCTTTGAGGGAAGTTTTTTAGAAGCTTAACAACTACAGATTTATTTTTGGGGAAGAGTGGGAAGAAGATGAAAATGCTTCCAAACATTGGTAACTAGCGATTATTCATTACCTCAAGAGATGCAGCACTGAGTTCAGCAGGTATCCCTTGATCATAAGATTTCAGCAACTCAAGAATCTCCAAACCATGAGTTTTAATCTTTGACATAAGTGATTCGACTTGTAAAACCTACATAACAAACAAATTTTAGCACATCTTTCAATATTTACAAAAAATTGCAAATTGAAATTTGAATCAAAGATCTCTCACGTACGAAGTAAACTTTACTCATCAATGGTTGCCAGTTTTCGTATATATCTCTTAATTCATCAACAGATTGGAGAAGTCCTTCAAATAATACTCTTTGACGCATTTCATCTGACACAATATCAGCATCAAGAATGGCATCAAGTGTTGGCTTTAACAATTTCAGAATTTCTTCAATCTTTGCATGATATTTCTGAACTGGTTCACTTTTCATGCCTTCACAAGAAGACAACTGAAAAAAACAACTAACGCTGTTGAGAAGCGATTTTAGCAACGATATCTCCATGCCCTGGCACATCGAAAGAAATAATGATCTCAGTAAGATGCAAACATAAGAGAACTTATTAACAGATCCTGATATTAGTACAATTTGTTGCCCATATAGCACCGATAAACAACTCAAACTAATCTTTTCAGGCATTTTATAAATCAACTAAGAACAGATCTAGTAACAAAAATAGCAAAATGAGAAATATGATCAAGAAGAAAACGGAGGACATAGATAGAAAGTAATATTAGACATTTAATATTTCTGACAAACATCTATAACCTACTTCCATTTTGGCTTTCAGCAATGACGTGGGAATTGGCTGCTGAAACACATGGACACTCATTTGATTGTATGACAAAGCACAACCTTATAACTGACAAAAATCCAAGAGAACACCAACTTGCTTTGATAAGAGAATACCACAAGGCCTACCCATCAACCAATTGATCTAAACGCTGAAGCAAGTTGATCATAATAGAATAACACCATCGTAAATATAGCACCCAAAAGTTCTCAATCCACGAAACTTGAAAATGGCTTTTTTGTTCTATAATCGTTTCCAACACAGTGAACACTCTGAACTAGTATATTCATAATTGCAAAACCCTAGGAGTTAGTTTAGTATTTTGTTTGCTCTATTTAATCTGACTTGCATTCTTAAAATTATTTTCAAGTGTTTTGACATTAGTTTTATTCAGGTTTCTGCCGGAGTCAATTAAGGTTATTTGATGTATGCTCGAGGACATACTAAGAGCAGTCTTGGTTAACTGTCACATTTATGGGCGTATCAGGAGAACAATAAATAACATGGGAATTAACTGAGGGCCAAATCAGATTGGGAACATTGTTTTAATGTAGGAAATATGCTTTATAATGTTGTAATTTGCAGCCACCGGCAAAACTAAATATAAATTGTCCCAATACATATTTCTTTGCATTCAAAACCCTAGATAGCTTCATTAAAACCACACTCTCAATTAAATCACATTTTTCATTAATCTGCTTTGATTTCTTGGATTTTCTATTTAATCATGATAATACCTTCCTTTAGCTAATCCTTCAACTTGATTTTTCTATAAAATATGGAGAATGGAAAGGGAAACTAAATACACCTAGAGTACTCTAAGCGCATTTATGTAACATTCATGGAAACCAGATGCATTTATAAATGATGATTGGTTTGGAGTAATTAACCATAAGGGCCTGGGGAGGGAAGACAACGAGAGTTTACCAAGTGGTAGTTGTTTCTAGTTAGATGTTTTACATATGGTGTTTCTAATACGGGCTCTTAGGATTTAGGAAGTGCTTATATAAGTGTTGTGATAGAAAATTGAAGCTTAAACCATCTAGAAGAGTAGAAAAAGTATTCAAGAGCCACTCCCAGACAATTATACTACGAACTTTTACATGTAACTTACTCCATAAGTTAATTCACAGTTAACCATCAAACTACTAACACTCTTTCAAATTAACTTTCATATCAAGATATACATTTGAGATAAGTATCCAAATGAAATAGGATGAAGGGATATGTTGGAGAGAAGATTTGGTATCTGTATTGCTCTCAACTTAAAAAGATAATTGCACCATCGGGAATTAGAGGTATAGGAGACTCAAAAATAAAAATATTTAAGGACGATAATTACGTATGGAACGACTTCTTTAAAATTCAGATATGCCAAAGAACTAGGTGGACTATTGCTAAAATATTGAATATTTGCGTCACACTAGTACTGTGAAATATTAAGGTTAACATCGTGTTTAATTTGTCCAGACAAATATTACATTTATTTGACTACATACATAAACGAAATTCCATAATTGATAAATCTATTACCCAAATACGTAATACAAAGATCGTGATTCAAAGATTCTCATTTAATACCACTAACCGAATATTTACTCGGGTTAAATCATATTCACTGGCCGACATAAGATCCTACCGCAAACGTTTTCACATTTCATGATCAAAATAACCATTCAAAACAAGACATTAATCCGATGCGATTTTCTACACCCAACAAAATCACAACACAACGTGCATGAAACATTTAGTTTATGCATCCTAAAAAGCACCCGACACGTGCTCAGTTCTCCCATAAGTACAAATAAATGCATAATTTTACATGAGATAAAAATACAAATCACCTCCAAATTCCAATTGAATTACACAATTAAAAGACATTTCCACCACTTCTGGAGAAATCATGCATTGGCTATCGATAAATCTTTAAGGAGACGAAAAATTCAGCTTCTACAAAACTAATGAAAAAGTAAGCGATTCCATGCAGAAAAAAACACAATTAAAACCTGAAATGATATCAAAATTACCCCGGTAATCACTCCAAGCAAGCCTCGCCAGAATCAGCAACAATGATCAAGTTCAATTCTAGCCAACGGTGCCCATTAACAACTGATCCAATCAAACAAACAAAATTAGCCATCAAAATCCTTCGCGTTCACATAATCAATCAATTAACCTAATCATAACAAAAAAGAAAAAGAAAAAAGGGAAATAAAAATACACATAAATTAACATACGCATACAAGCTGGCGTGAGAGATCGAATGAAACCAGAAAAGGAAATGAGCACGAGACAATCAAAATGAAGGAATTAAATTATATAAAAAGAAACTACACAGGAAATTTGGGGGAGTTCCTCCGGGATTAAAGAATTAGGGTTTGGGAAATGATTCAGAAAACCAAAGGACGTCTCGGCTTTTCCTCAGTCCGTCCCCAGCAGCTCGTTCTCTCTCTCTCTCTCTCTCTCTCTCTCTCTCAAACGCGGACTTGTCGTCGGTTTATTATTTCCGGTTTTGTTTTCCAAACACGTCCGGGTTTAGATTACCTGCTCTCGCGTCGATGTGTAACTAATTTTATTTTTATTTTTATTTTATATTCTTTTTCTGCATAGTTTTTGACGTAATGGACCGCGTGGGTCTATTCCCACCATGCCACCCTTAATATTATATGTAATTTTGAAAAAAATGAAAAAAAGAAATTTAGAAAAAAGAATGACAGCCGGGAAATGTATATGCATTGTGTTGTTGTACATTAGTGGCGATGCCATGTCCCTTGTTTGACTTGACTTTTATGCATGTCAATGTACAACTCCACTTGCGATCGTATCGGTTAATGAATCGAAATAGTAAATATATTATTTCCATAGTTTTCTAAGTTCTAATTCTTCGATTTTCGACATGATGTGATCAAGAAGCAATACGTTTGCCAAAATTGCAAGTAGATCGCTACTTGTGTTGCAAACAAACGGTAGGCGTTGGCCGCGCGAAAAAATTTCAATGCTCAAACTTTTGAATCCCAAAAGAAGAAAGCTTGAGAGCGTATTAGAATGTGTGTACCTCTAATTATGATGTTTAAGTAGTATTTATACTTAAAATTATGGGCTAGGGCCCCTAGTTAAGTTTAATTAATGAATTGGCCCTATAAGTGTTGGGTCTTGCCATGATTTTTGTTGTTGGTTCACTCAAGACTAGAGGAAGTAGACGCTGGAGTTGATTCAGCACCATGGTCTGAATTACATGGGCCGAATTGATCCAAGTTAAACTTGGGCCCAACTCGATCCTAGTATGGGCCCAACTCGTTTGAGTAATCTTAAACGTGGTTTATTTATATATTCTCGTTTGAGTAATCTTAAACGTGGTTTATTTTTATATTTGAGATCGAATCTCAAGATCCTAGTACACGTCTTTATAATAAAGGAATGGGAATCATGCTTGAAATTGACTCTAAACCCCGACGTGTATGTATATATATGTATATGTGATAAGCGGTGTTCCATCGAAATCATCTAGCATACACAAAATACACTAAAGATACATGTTTTCTTTTGATAATTATCCCCCAATCCATAGTTCTGACGGAAAACTCGTCTACAAAGATTTTCTTCGGCCGGTCAAAAAGCATATTGCCGAAGGAAATTTGACTGTGTACAAATTTGCACGATCGATGTTGATACGTGAAACTTTGTTTTGTTGTTGCAATAATTAGAACATTAACTAGTTTTAATAGATTGTAGTAACTAAATTCAAATCATTACAATTATATTTAAAACCAACATTTACCTAGTTTCAAAAGAAATATTATTGGGTACAATTGCAACAAATGTTTGTGACACATAAGTCAATTGTACACAAACACACAAGTCAAAAGAAGAAATATTATATTTTCCTAAATAATTTGTCTATTGGCTCCTCGTGGTGTTGACTTTTTGACTTTGACCAATGTAGACAAGTCATAAGGGGTAAATTATGTAAATTGTAGACATCTCCGAGGCCGATTTGAAAATACTCAAAATTTATGAGGCAAAACGTAATAATCAATAAATGCAGTGGTATGATGTAATTAAGGCAAATCAACGCGCGGCAATGTGGGATTTTCTCTTCGTCTTCTCTGCTTTACATACCTGAAGAAATAGCGCACAGAGCTACACCCCCTTCGACAATGGCGAGTGAGGGTTTCAACGGGGACGACTGGGATAACGACTTCTTAGACAAGCTCCTCCAAGCGGAGGAACTGGCCTTGTCCACTCAGATTCCTCGAACCTACCACCCACCACCGCCGCCGCCGCCGCCGCCGCCACCGCAACCGCCGCTGCTGCCGTCGCCGGCGTATGGCGTCAGCTATTCCCCTCCTCGCGAACTGTCTCAGCGACCCCGTGAATTAGGCCACACGGGCGGCGTTCCCGATTATTTTGATTCGTTTTTCCCTCGTGGGACCCACTTCGCCAAGGAGCAAGAAATCGACAGACCAAAGGTTGAGATTGTGCTTCAATTTTACACAGATTTTGATAAGGATGATGATTTATGTAGAGAATGTATTAAATGTTATGATGTATTAAATAAAAACTTGAGTATGTATTTTGTTGCATCCTTTCTTGTTCCTTCTTATTTGTGTTGGATTTGAGTAAATCATAACATTTTGCCCTGTTCGTGATGTTTCTTTATGTCGTTGCAGAGAGAGTTGAATCGCGTTTCGAAGCAGCGAAATGATCTGGTAAATAATTTTTTTAAAGTAAATAATTTCTTCTGAATCGAGCATAAGAGCTTTTAACTGCACGAACAGAAACGCTTGGATTTTAGGAAGGAAAGGGACAAAAAGGAGCAGCAGCCGGAAGTAATACATTCAAAGATTGAGGCGAAAGATGCTGAGTTTTATCAGACAAAGGATACGGAGATGTAAGCATATCTTTTGTTTTATCATATCGAATCTGCTAATTAAAATGTGTTTGTAGTTTGCTTAAAGCATTTATAAGCTTTCGAACCAACTCATATCGTATGTGTGTTATTGTGTATGCTTGTCTCATTTAAGCAACATGTATTCTAGTTTGCAGCAGTCCAATAAATGTAAGCCAAAATGAACTCCAATCATCATATCGTCTTTGCAGTTAGGTCAAAAGGTTTCATTTATTGAGAAAACATGAATTTTGAATGAAAATATGGATTTAGGGAATGTTAATGTTCGTCTTTGTTGAGTATTCTTAAGTATTCCCCTCAACTTCATCACGCATATTCTGTAATAAGGCAATTATGCTTGAGAATGTGTATGGATGACTCTCTTTTTTTTTTTTTTTTTTTTTCTGGAAGCAGGGATTGCCTTGATTCGGGTCCCACTGATCCTGGCATATCTACTGTGTGTCGAAATGAAAATCCATCAAACGAGCAACTTAAGCCCCGCACAAAATGTAGGTGAGCATTTATTCAAAGAGTTAACAAGAGGAAAAGCATCCTCTGATTTTGTTCCCTCCCATGTGATGTCATCTCTTTGCGTTTTTAAATACTTGGCCATCAGCTTGTGATGCAGGAGTGCAGACAGATAAAACCACTGAATCAAGCAGTACGGCTGTACAAAATACTTGTCGCGTATCGGAAAAATTGGTTGGGCTGTGGAATTCAGATGACCAAAAACTGGGAAGAGTTTTAGTTGCACAACTGTTTATGACTTGTGAGAAGGATTTTCATGCGCTGTTTGGATACTTGAACTCGCCTAAAGCGGATTCTAGCATGGCTTTGTCTGATCAACCAGGTTCTATTCATCCCATAGAAACTGCAAAAGTATCACATCTATTCTCCGTGTTGACCAAGGTAAAAATGCCTTCGCTCCCAGCTATATTTGCACGATTTTTGCATTTTAATTTTCTTCTTTTTAAATGATATGTCTTCGAGTACGAGCTTTACTCTTTAACTTTTACTGTTGCAGATTGGTTACGATACTTTGAGATTGGAGGATTTGTTAGAAGCTTTGGTCGACCTTTGCAGTCTGAAAAATGTGAGTTTATTATTCATGGCCTCAATTCATATATGTAATTATAGTAGTCAGTTTTCTTTGTTTCCTGTTATGTTTAATTTGTCTGAAAAGAAGCCATGCCACCTGGTGCAGGTTGTTATTATTCATAGCTCTCTTCGTGTTCTGCACAAGATTCTAAATAATTCTTCCAGCATGAAAAAAGAATTTGGTAAAAGGTAAGAAGAACCAGCTTATGCGTTTTTACTTGTACTTTGGCGAGAGTTTCTCAGACCCACGAGGCACAATTTCGACCTCTTTAATTTGCTTCAAAATTTATTCTTTCAGTTTGATAATTCGCATCATGAATTATATATCTATTCTTTCTTCCTTTTTTTTATCAATGGGAACAACAAAATCTTTGTTCATATATGTTGGGAGTTTTCACTATATTATTACCACCGCTAGTGTTGTAATCAAGGTAGTCTTTATGATTAAAATGCAGAGGCCGCCCCAATCTGGTTGAGCCGCAAGCATACTTACTATATCATTAATCTTTTAAGCTACTTCATTACAAGTTTCAATTTACAAGATGAGTATCTTTTGGAGCAATTGCAATTATGAATTCTTCTAAGTTTCTATACAATTCGTCCTTTTCCTCGTTGTTCAATGTTTTTTCTCTGAAATTTTTATATTTTATTCATACTTACCGTATGAAGTGATTGCAGTTTCTTCTTTTTGTCAAAATTTTGGTGTCACTCAACCCATAGGCCACATTAAATATATATAAAACTGGAACTGTTTATGATGTGGCACTAAAAACCATTTTTTAGAATTGTTTCATATAAATGACATGTAGTTGCAAAGTTATCGTTGGGATTTTTTCGACCTTGCCCGTAATGCTTATTGCATGGTTTTCTAATTTCAACTTCCTCCCAAAAAGAATTGATGGCCCAGATGTTGATTTCCTTGTGTACTTAGATCTAAAATTTCCAGTGTAATTGACCAGGGAAAATGTTATGGTTGAGGAATCTCTATCTGAAAACACCAACGAGTGTCGGAATTCAGAACAAGAAAGCTTATCCTTTGCAAATGTAGCAGAGATTCTGAAGCAGAGCCATATTCCATCAGAACTGAATTTGTTTAATGTTAAAACCCCTGGCCATAGTAGATTCTTCGATTGTAGCTTTGGAGCATCTATTTCTGGAGTTTATTGGGTTTCTCTTTTCGAACGTATGTGCCTTATATCCATTCAGAACAACGAAAAACAAATTCGGCGTGAAGCACTTTCAATCATGAATCTGATTCTTATGAGACAAAATGCATATTTGGAGAGAGACAAGTAAGTGTTTCTCTGCTGTCGATTCGCTGGTTTTGTCCATATAAGATCATAATCCACTGCAATTTTGACACAGGTTTGTTGGGGAAGTGGTGTTTCGAAGTTTATCACAATTATTAAGGAGGGAAGCTGGATTTTTTGTGCAAGACCAAGCTGTTCATACTCTTTATCTGCTATGTAATTGTGAGTAATTATTTCTTGGCAGAAAAACCGGATTTTAACCAGAAGTATCTCACTCGTTTATTTTGTTTTACTTATTCTGCATTTGTTATATTTGTAGAGGAGAACCCCTTCAACTTATCTACTACTCTGAACAAAATTATGCACTTGAGCTATCTATGGTCACGACCTACTAAATCATGTAGCTTACATGTAAAACCTTAATTCTCGTTTTTGCAATATCGTTGCAATATCCACATCCTAATCTTGGATACTTTAGGTGGGAGGTTCAAATTGTTATCGGTGTAACTGTTTCTCTTGCTGTATTCTGCAAAGGTCCAAAAACCATAGCCATGCTTTGTTCCGGTTCTAAACAAGATGGCGAGCAACTTGCCTCCGAGTTTTCAAGTTTTCAAGGGTTCAATGAGATCTTAATTGGCTTGGCAGATTGTGTCGCTTCCTATAGAAGTGCTACTGCAGAGGTACGGTTTTTTTTTCTTTTCTTTCTTTTTTTTTTCCTGGATTTACCAAACTAGCATGATTTTGATGTTGTATGACCTATTTTGATCTTTTGATGTTAAAATTTGCTGAAAACTTTCAGGAGATGAAGCTTCGAAGAAATGCTATAGCTTTTCTTGCTTTCTTAGGTTCATTGGGAAAATCCGGCTTCGAAGTTTTGATAAACCATACGCTTCCGAAGGGAACCAATTTCCTCGCAATCATTTTGCAAAGCTTAACATCAGATCTCGACCTTCAGGCGTCAAAGTCAGCTCAGAAATCCGACCTTGTCCGAGAACAGTATGTTTCCTTACTCAGCCAATGGGAAAAATACAGTCTTCATCCCTCAAGTTTGCACTGATTTCACATTTGGTCCCCATGTTCACAAAAAACACTTTTGGTCCCTCATGTTTAAAAAATGCAACACTTTTAGTTCTTCTCGTCAGTTTTCTGTTAGTACTCATGCAATCAGGTGTGTGCGCCCATGACTGCTTTAACTGACGGACTAACGGTAAATTGACGGAAATGACCAAAAGTCATGAGGGACCAAATGTGTTTGTTGTGAACATGGGGGACCAAATGTGAAATCGGTCCAAACTTGAGGGATGAAAACTATAATTTTCCCCACAACCAATCAATAGTACAACATTTGTTTCAGACCATGTCTTCAAAACAAGACCTTTCTGAATTTAGTCTTTCTAACCATAACTATCTATTTAAATTTCATGTTAGACACATTTTACTTACTGCTCGATTTTTCTTTATTTTGCAGAATATTGCTAATTCGAGAGGCGCTTATTCTTTTGAATAGACTCGCATCTCATCCTCAATATTCGGGTCCCGTTTTGGAAGCACTGACAAATACGAGAGAGATGGCGAGTGCAGCTGTGGATGTTGCTAATAGATTGACCAATAAAAGCAAGTTATTGTGGCGTAACGAAAACACAGCAAGGCAAATCAGGGAATCCGAGATTATGGAGTTGGCTCGTGTCTTCAAGAAGAGGATTTTTACGTTCTTAGGCGATAGCATTTCATGAGATGGTTTTTCTATCGCCTCGATTATGTACGTAGAGAGTATTCATGTAATATAATCAAATACATGAGAGTATTTTTGTATTTTGAACTCAAAGTAGAGTTCATAAATAGAAAATGTGGGTAAGTACTTTCCTAGAAAAAAGAGTTACCAAACTTATTTTGAGAGCTTATAAGCTATTAAATGTTATATAATAATCAATATGTTTTGAAGAGCTCGTAAGCTTAGTCAAACACAAGTCCAATTGTTTAAATATAAGAGTTAGTTGACTATTGTTTTAAATTAAGAATGTTCCTATAAAAAACAATTAGGAATGACTTAACTTATATATATTTAATTACAATCACTTCTTGAGGTAAAGTGTAATTGCAAAAAAACTTTTTTTTTTCGAGAAATTACATTCAGCTCCCTGTAATTTATAAAATTCTTACATCCATCCATACAAACGGGTGTAAATGTAAGAAATCTACAAATTTCAGGGGTGGATGTAGAGTTATGGAAAAATAAGAGGTTTTTTCGCTAATAGACCTTACCCTAGGAGGCATTTGTAATTTATCAAAGTGTTAAACGAACAAGATTCTCCCCACGAAAGCCATTCATGAGGATGCCCACAGGGAATTCGAACCCACCACCCACAAAAAGGGCAACCTCTCGTAATTATTCAGATGTTTGATGGCAATTAAATACCATTTTCTTCATTCCAAATATACTTCCATATCCCGCTTCGTAATAAAGCAGCAAAACCAGCACACTCACAGTACGGCAGTGCCACTGTTCTCTCTCTATTTTTCTCTCTCTAGCTTTATAAAAACGTATACAAACATCTGTCTGTGTGTGTATATATATAAGCCGCATACTTTGCGTGTATCGGGAGCTCTAGCTTTGGGGAAAATAGTTAGCCATGAATCGAGGAAACGATCCCAACCCGTTTGACGATGAAGAGCCCGAAGTCAATCCATTTTCGGTAACTGCTTTTTCTTTTTTTCTAGATCTGCCTATTTTTAGATTATTTTTTGTTGATTTTGGGTTATTTTCTTCAATTTTGCAATTTTTACGGGTATTCGTGTGAAATTTTGATTGTTTCATTTAGATCTGAGCCCTGCGGCTATATTTTTGCTTGATTAAATTTCTTATTAGGGCTAACTTGAGCCACAATTCGAGAGAGAGAGAGATTAGTACGATGTCGTAGTATACATACTAATATGTATTGAAAAATAGAAAAAAAAAACAAATTAGTATGATGTCGAATTATTAGAACATTAAAAGATTCAGACATTAGTTGTTCTGGTAATGAAGAATTTGGTAGAATTTTTCAAGCCACCATTTGTATGCAAATATCATAATTTTACGGAATTTTTAATTCTTTTTTTTAATTTGAAGATTTTTTTAATAGTTTATTTTACAAAGAGAAGTGAATAATCGTCAAATTGACAACGCTAAGTCCTTACAATGCAAATACTGTTAATATAATCGTGATGCTCCTATCCCCTAGGCTAGCTATAGGAGGGGTTACTGAACCAACTTGATGCTATATATATGTCGTCCATTTATTACCCAATTTAGCATTTTCTGTCTAACCATCATTTGCTAAATTGACGCAAAGTTATAAGTGTGCATGTGATGCATTAGAAGAATGACCAAGTATCTGGTGGCAGCTGTATCGGTTTATGTCATATAAGATTGATATGTGTTAAGGTTTGATAAACTGCAAGATTGGTCGTTGATGCTAATTTATTGTTCGCTTGGCAAAAGAAACTTCTCTGGGAACTAAGTTGTTTGTAGGTGACAACTGTATTATTGTGTCATATTAGATTGATATGTGTTAAGGTTTGTTATACTGTAAGATTGGTAGCTGATACTAATCTATTGTTCAACTGGCAAAACAAAGTTATCTGGGAACAAAGTTCTTATTTGCAGTATATCATTCTTATTTCATCTTACAGTTAATTTTAAAATTTTAAAGATGCTGATGAGAAAATTCCACTTCATAATATTATCCATACTGCCTTAACATTCGGCATTTTGAGTGTCGCAGCAAGGTGCAGGGAAGTCACGCATGCCTAATGTCGTTGCTAGTACACTGGGTTTTGGTCGGAAGCATGACGCCACTGTGGATATACCATTAGATAACATGAATGTAATGTAGTCCGTAATTCCACTTGTGAATTTATGTGGTAGAATCTCGAGTCTAACTCTAATTCTGTTGCATAACTTTTCAGGACTCCAGGAAAAAGGAGAAAGAACTTTCAACTTGGGAAGCAGATTTGGACAGGAGAGAAAGGGTGAGCTTTTGATTAGGGTTAATCAATTACATATAGATTCTTGAGAGGATGTTAATATATTACTTCTGATACTCTGTGAATTTTGTGTCATTGTGCCTTTTAGAAACTGATATGTTCTTATTGGGTCTGAATTCAGTAGAAAGTGTAATGCATCCTAACTACATCTTGTGTTGTGGTTACCTATTTTTTACTCTGTTTTATACTTGTGTGAATTTTATATGCAATACAGTGAACTAGGAGAAACATAATTGGATTGAACCCCCATTCTGTCATATTCAGTAGTTACCTTACCCTTGAAATTCATGCATGTAAAAGTACTCAACAAATATTGTTTTGTAGGACATTAAACGGAGAGAAGCTGCTGTTGCCAGTGGTAAGTTGGAAGATCAAGGCTAGAAACCATGTTTACATATTTTTTCTCTGTTTTTATGCTTCTAATTCATTAGCAATTCTTTCTTTCAGCTGGTGTTCCCGTGGATGATAAAAATTGGCCCCCATTTTTCCCTCTTATTCATCATGATATAGCCAATGAAATACCAGTTCATGCTCAGAGGTTGCAATATTTTGCTTTTGCGAGTTGGTTAGGTGCGTACGTCCTTTTGTTTATTGACAAGCACTATATTTATTTTGTGGAACACCCTTTTTGTGGTTGCTGTTTAGATTTCAGACAAACATTGGGCATGTATGTGAGGAAATAGCTGCGGCTTAGTCAATTCATATCTTTAAAAAAAAAAAGTGGATATTTGCATAGAGGGCATGGTTTGCGCATATTATTTACTTTGCACTATGAATGTGTACTATGTAGTAACTATAAAGTATAATCACACTTACGGGAGACCAAAGGAAAACACTATAACCTAGCAAAGGGATATTTCTTCATATTGTTATACATTTAACTATTTGGAAACTTATTTTATCTCACTTATTTCCATGCATATATACTCTCTCGTTTTTTATGAATTTAAATACTCCACTATCCGTCCATCATACTCGTAAACTGCAGCATGAATTTAATCCATGCAATTGTCGATAGTTTTTCCGAACTGCCTAATGTTGGCTGGTTTTATTAATTTCTGGCTTTAAGGATTTTAATCTTAACCGTTATCAGCATGTACAATTTATTTGTGGTTGAACTTCTCCATCTGGAAGTACGTTTAGGATTGTGATTGATGTAATTACACCATATTAAACATAAAGCTTTTACTACTATCTCAACTGACCAAATAAATATATTTCTGGTTCTCAGACTGAAGGCGTGGCAAAGTGTCTCGTTCTATTAAATCTGTCCTATTTTTATTCATGTCTTATGGTTCTATTCCATGTTATAAGACTGTGATTGTAGTTTGTTGCAAGTTCAATGCAAGTGATTTTAGAATTTTCGCCTCAATGGATTTTGGTACAGGTATTGTCCTATGCCTCGTGTTCAATGTCATTGCAGTCACTATTTGCTGGATAAGGGGTGGTGGTAAGTTCTTTTGTTTATTTTGTTTACTCCTTTTCCAAATAGATCTTTTGATGCGAAAAACTAAAATGTAGTTTACTACCTGTAGGAGTCAAGATTTTCTTCCTTGCTATTATATATGCCCTAATGGGTGTCCCCCTCTCGTATGTACTGTGGTACAGGCCTTTGTATCGTGCAGTGAGGTACTTGCAGTCTCCTTGTTATCTCTTTCTTGAGACTTCGACGTGTTGAAAATATAATGTTTGTTGTTCTGTATCTGATTCTGATCCTCAGGACTGATAGCGCACTCAAGTTTGGCTGGTTTTTCTTGTTCTATTTGGTATGTTTTAGTTGTTACCCTTGAAATTTTATCTTTGTACGACACTGTCTTATTGATGTCTTTGCAATTCCATATTGCAGATACATATTGGTTTTTGCATCCTTGCTGCAATTGCACCTCCAATTGTCTTTCAAGGGAGATCACTTACGTAAGAATTTTTTTATTAAATTTTTAATTCACAATTTATTCTTTTAAAGGAAATCCAAAACTTCGTTTGTTTTAACCAAGTAATTCCTCTAGTGTTATATCATCATATCTTACCAGACCTTGATTCGAAGTTCTTTTATTTCGTTTAATTTGAAAATGGAGGTTTGCTCCACAAACAATGTTTCAAAATCTAATAGTGCTCATTTATCTTTTTATTTTTTATTTTTTTTTATAGCTAATACCTTCGTTTATTTTCTGATATCAGGGGAATCCTTGCAGCCATTGATGTCTTCTCGGACCATGTTTTGGTTGGGGTGAGTTCTCCTTAGGAGCATTGTTCAGAATTCGAGCTTCGTATCATTGTCTGCATTCTTATAGAAGTTATATATTATCATTCTCTACTTCTTTTATACATAGACGTTGCGTGAATGTGTTGTCCTCTATTTTGATGCAGATCTTCTACCTGCTTGGATTCGGATTTTTTTGCTTAGAATCACTGCTGAGCTTATGGGTACTCCAGGTTAGAAAATGATTAATCGCAGCTCTACAACCTTTTGTTTACGAGTCTCTGTAGAATCACTTATATTTCACACTTTTTATTTTGTCCATGCAAATAATTTTGCTGTTTCTTATTTATTCTTGATAAGATGCATACTGTTTTTGTATAGTTGACTTTTTGTTGACCTTATTCTCTCTTTTGCAGAAAGTATATGCATATTTCAGGGGGAATAAGTGATATACTTGAATTCATCTGGAAGCTGGCTAAGTAGAAATGTATTCTGTTATTTTGCGAAAAAAATTTATCGTTTCGATTTCGTATTCTCACATGTAGCAGAAAGCACGAAGGGTTTACATGTATTTGCTATCTAAATTCAACTCTATAGCTTTATTCTCTTCTGCACTATTCTTTATGGATTCCCTATAGTTTCATTTGGTATGTAAATTCTTTATGAATCATGATATTCATGGCGGATTGATTGTTCACTCTTGAAAATATTATATTCTGTTTGGCACCTGTATTATTTTTCATTTCATATTTGCATCGTAATTAGGTTTTCATAATCCATGTGCCCATATCGTTGAATAATCCAATATTTATCCGCAGCACATCTTCACATATGGCTTATGAAATCCTCTACCTGGTGAAATATAACATGTAATATTAAACCCCACGTCTCGTAGCATGCCATTGCCTTGTTCGCCACGTGGCAAAGCCGATATCCAAATTGAAAACAGCAACAAATGATCACTAAGAATTCTCCATTCCATATTTATCGCAAAGAATGACAGACATGGTCACCAGATAAGAGAGCTTTACGAGCAGCTTATTGCTAGCAGAGCTGCTGCTCCTTTACAAGCTTTGTCAAAGGCCTGATAAATGCTTTCGTTATGTATGTATCTATTTTGATCAGTTGAAACTTTACGGAGAATTTCGGAAAATAGAGAAACGGTACAATATGTTTGAAATAGAGTGAACATGCATGCATGGAGAGTGGACAGAAAATCAAGACAGGCTTAATACAATGTAATTAAAGCAGCATTAGAAAGATTTCGATGGATGATCTCGTGATGAATTGCCATCATTAAATGTAATAGGCAATCATTATATACAGATTTTTCATGCCGACTTGCTGTGATAAAACCCCACAAAGGGGTAGAAAAAAATATGGAAGAACGAAAAAAAAAGGACAAGAAAATGCAATTAATTGGCTAAGAAATGGCCCAAATTTTCTGCAGAACAGCAGCTTCTTACAAAAGCAAAAAGATCGACTTTCATCGAATTATACCTTTGCTTGATTCATAACTGGAGATTTTTTTTAAAGAAAATCAGCCAATTATTGCCAGCAAGCTTTGCCTAACAACCGGAACAGAGCAAATCACAGAACCGAAAATTCCCGTCAGTGCATAAGCAATTGCACAAAACGGAAGAGCCTCCGGTTCCTTTGCTGATAATGCAGCAGTTCCCAATCCATGTGCACTGAAAAAAAAAACCGAATCAAAACGGTTTTAGTACATGCACCAATATAAGTTTCTTCCAACAGTACAACAAAAAAAAATCGAATTTTTTTTTTTTTTTGTTTTTTTGAATTATGTACCTTGATGCAGTTGCTATTCCACGAGCAATAGGATCACTGAACCCTAGTTTATCGAGAGTCGTCTGAACAAAATTTGCCCCAACGAGTCCAGTCACTACAACAACGGCTGCTGTAAGCGATGTATTGGCACCTGAAACAAATGAAAATGCAAATGCATATAAATAAAACAACTATTTTTTTTTAAATTCATATTGAATCTGAAAAGATAGAAAATAAAATGAGATATTTTAAACCTTCGAAGAACGATACGATGCTGAGAGCAAGAGCGACAGTTATGCATCTGGGAAGAATTGATATAGTTAAGGAAGGTTCGAGTCCAATTAAACGACCAATGAGAGCTGTCGAATATAAAGAGAACACGGTGGAGAGTATGACAGAGGTGAATATCTCTGCTGCATGTCTTTTAACCAGCTGCAATGTTTTATAAAATCAAGATGTAGTTATGTACAAATATATAATGAATACTTTAATACTTATATAGTAATTAAAATCATTTCTTTTTTACCTTCCTTTGTTGGAACATTGAGAAGGCAAATGAGAGAATAACCGATCCAAGAAACCCCATAAGAATGTCGCCAGCTCCGGGATTCGACGCGGTCTTTGTAAGATAATATCCTGCAATTTTCATTTTTGTCATCAAATATGTAACTTGATAAATTGCTAGATCGAATATTAATGAACATTTGATTAAAGGGTAATTTACAAAAAAAAACCCTGAACTTAGGCTAAATTACGAAAAACACCCACTATCCGTAATTACCAAAATGCCCCTGACGTTTGTTTCCGTATTACACCGACTCCCTTAGGGTGTGATTTTTCACGAAATCATTTTTCATGAAAAATCACACCGTTAGGTGGTGATTACAGATTGGTGGGGTGTTTTTCGTAATTTTAGCCTAAGTACGGGTTTTTTTTTTTTGTGATTTACCCTTGATTAAATTTACTAATTTCACCACCATTTCTACAGCTCTAACTTAATAACCTTCCGTAATCGATTAGAGATATATACCTAAAACAGGATTAAGCCCAGATTTTGTGAGTTGTCCATATGCGAATGCAGCCAGCTCTGCTGATAATGCACAGCAAATAATCGGATGGAAAACCTTCTTCACGCCACCTGGTAAACTGAAAACCCAATAAAATCATATATTACGAGATGCAAAAAAAACCCGGAGGAGAAAAAAAGTTGTACGGGAAACTAATTGAATTCCTTTTCTTACCCATTACCAAACATGTATCCTACTACTGTAGAAGCAAGGAGGAAAGGCAAACACGTCCTTGCATTTGTACCAAGTATAGTCGGATAAAGAAATGCCGATACAAAAGATACTAGGAATATGCCGCTCCATGCCCACAGCTCAACCGAAAAAAAAGGCGAAGGCTTTGCCATTGGCTCGGCTGCTACCATTTCAGTGTTCACAATCTTTCTCACCGCTATAGCTGTATAACCTGCTACAGCAAGCGAAGCTAGCCACCCTCCAACTGCAGATAATTTCTTGATTTATTTCAATATCTATAATCTGAAATTGAAAAGCCTATATACACTAAGGCCTCGTTTGGTTCCTAAGATAAGATTAGCCAAGAAAAGATTATGAAAACCCAATAAATAATCTCCCAATAAGCCAAGATTAGAGCCGTTTTTTCCCACAATTGCGGGCCGGTCCGATAAGTTATTAGACTAACCAAACACTCAAACATCCAATAAGGTCCGATTCTTTAATTAATCATGGCTAAGCTTATCAACCAAACGAGGGTTAAGATTAATCAATTGGTAATGAGGAAATATATATACCTATAATGAAAATGATTTTAAGTCCGGAAGCTGCCGGAATATCCTTGACCGCTAGCGGCAAAACCACTAAAGAAGGTACGTAGAACAAAGGGAGCCACCGTTGAATGAAGAGAAACGCGGGCTGAAAGAAGTTCATCACGCTAGTTGCTGCAGCAGGTACAGTGGAATCAAGAACCATCAAAATGGTGAATATGCAAAACATTCCGAATAAAGCACTCGGGAATTTAATGGCGGCAGCCACAAATGCCTGCTTCAAGAACTTGTCCATGGCCACAATAATTCCCAATGAAACAACCAAATGCAACAGTTTAACAACCTAATACAAATAATGAAATCAATTAGTAATTTCATCGAAATATTCAAATCATTGCGAAAATTCAAGAATCCAAAATTGGCCATGATCAAGATTCAATTTTTAAGACAGAGAGACATGTAATCAGTGTTTTCATCAAACTCATTTACACAATCAGAAAATAATCAAGAATCCAAAATCGGCCATGATCAAGATTCAATTTTTAAGAGACAAAGAGTCATGTAGTTAGTGTTTTTATCAAAATCATTCACACAATTAAAAATAATCAAGAATACCAAAATGGGCCATGATCAAGATTCAATTTTTAAGACAAAGAGTCATGTAATTAGTGTTTTCATCAAAAAACATTTACACAATTAAACACAATCAAGAATCCAAAATGGGCCATGATCAAGATTCAATTTTTATTTAGGGCTACATTGTTACCGTGCTTTGAAGACTAGTAGCTGAGGTCAAACCAGTTTCCGATTCATTGGATTTGACAGAAACCCTTCTCTGCGAATGTATTATCTGAGGATCAACGAGCGGAAAACCGGAGTTGGGTCCAAGAAAATGACTTGGTTTCGGAGATTCCGAGGAACGGCCATTGTTGTAGCTTCTAGGTGTTTGGGAGGAATTTGAAGAAAATGGTGACAGTTTTGATGAGATTTTTCTAGGTTTTTGGACTGGACTGAAATGTGGGATTCTTGAACGGTGGCGGATGGGAAGAAAAAAAGGTGTGAAAATGGCGGAGGCGGAGGCGGCAGCCATGGTGGCGAAGGTGGAGAAGAAGAGAGTGTGTAAGAGGGGAAAGGTGACATTTTTCTTTCAAAGTGTGTGTGTGCAAAAAATGTGTGGAGGCGAATAGATTATGTTAAGATTCTAATTTACGGTTTTGTTCGTTGCACTCATTTCTCACGTGGGCCTTTCAAATAAATTAGGGTAAATTATAGTCACTTTAGCGATGGAACGTCAAATTATGAAAAAAACCTACTCCGTCAAATTACGAAAAAAACCTACTCACGTTTGATTAATTACAATTACTTCTCAACTATGAATCTTCTTGGACGTGTCTATTCATGCGGTGTCAAATTTAATTGAATCTTTCATCTATGAATTTTTTTAGACGTCCACTCACGCGGTGTCAAATTTAATAGAATCTTCAATATTATGTGGAATATTCTCCAATTTGTACTCGTTTTATCCCATTTGAGCTCCACATTTTGAAACAACATGATTATAAAAGGGAATTGCTTTTTGCGGTTTGAAAAGTGCTATTTGCAGTTTATAACAAAAAACACTTTATTTTTCTAAAACCCCAAAACTTCTCAAAAAAATCCAAAAACCCCCCCAAAACGCGTAAAAGCCCAACTTAGGCGCCCATTCATGCAGTGCACGCCCAAGTTGGGCGTGCAAGCTGCATTTGGGCTCCCGAGTTGGGCGTCCGGTGCAAAATAGTTTTTTTTTTTTTTTTTTTTTTTTTTTTATAATTGAACGCCCAAGATGGCGCCCAAGGCGTGTACGAACACGCCCGGAACAGGCGTTCGTAGCATGTTTTTGCGAAAAAAAAAAGCCCTACAAATCGATTTGTAGGGCTTTTTAACATGAAATTGGTTACGTAATCGACCTACCCAATGCATATTACACATAAAAGAATTGAAATTACATCAAAAAATTGAAGCCTAACCCTTCCTCAAGCTTGATTTCGAATTTTCGAATTTTTTTATTTTTTTTTTGCTATTTGCAGTTTGGGGGTTTTTTCTAATTTTTTGGAATGTTTTGGGGGATTTTGTGAAAAAACCGCAAATAGCAATTTTGTAACCGTAAATAGCACTTCATTTATAAAATGTGTCTTTTGACTTGTAAATATCAGATTGCGGTGCATCAGAAACTGTATTTTTGCGCAAAATAAATACAAAATTAGACAACATTCCACAGGTTATATCGAATTTAACACCATAAGGATGGACATGTATAAAAATTCATAGTTATGAGCTTGTTGTAATTATTTAAACATGAGGGGTTGGTCGTAATTTATCCAAATATACTTGTAGTTTAGCTTTCTATTAGCGGGTTCAATTTGTCGAATCAATTATGGATCCGGGCCGGGTCTTCCTTTTTAACTTGGGCGGGTGTTTCCAGTTCGGGCCCATGGGTCTGATTTTTGAGCCCATTGTTAATGGATTTATTTGAATCTGTTAGTAAAGTATGTCCGGTCCAAGATGATTTGAAGGTTGCATCTTTACTAATAAAATTCGAGTCAATAATTTCAAATTTATATTTAATAGATTTCTATAATTTATTTTGTTGAATATTTTTAATTATAAATTTTTAAGTCATTAAATCTTAATTTGATGTGAGAAACTGAATTTGGAAAAATTCAAGAGAGTTTTAGCTATCGAACTCAAAGTAAAATCAAAGTACGGTTAAACTACTATAAATTGATATAATCGGTACGAACAAAATTCTATTAATTTAGCGAAATATTAAATCAACGAACTAATAATTTAATCCATTTTACTAGGGTTGAAAGTGGGACGGAACAAAATTAACCTTTTCGGAAAATTTCTAATTTTTCGGAAGTACAAAAGTATTCCTAATTCCAATCCAAATAATTAGGAAAATAGCATAAATCGAAATTTCGGAAATCAAAATGAAAAAAGTTGTTCCCAAATCGGACCTTTTCCGTTCCAACTTTTACCCATGGTTTTCACCGAGTTGGGATTGAAAGATTTTATTATTTAAACGAGCCTATTAATTTATCGATATTCTATTGTATTGTGTTCTGTGAATTAAGTCAATTTTTCTAACAAGCTATAGATTGTGCTAAAAAGTTAAATACCATTGGAAGCTGGGGTTGTCTAGGGTCCGAGAGGGTTGTACTTCTCGGACCGTAACCCACCAATAGAATTATGCCACGTAGGATAAGTACGAACCCAACAAAAAAAAGTACGAAGCCTACCTTTTCAGCAAAATTACATAAACACCCTTAAAACTAAAACTTAATTACAGATTAATAATTAATAATTAATAACTAAATTCGATCACATATCAATAATAATTATCATAAAATCCGTCGTTCATATCTCGTTCATACCTGCGTTCATCTCCCTCTCCCACCATTCTTCCGACTGACGATTGAGAGTCTCTCAACATCTCTTCTTCGGCTAATTGTGAACCTATGTTGTGATCCTCATAAAGGTACCCTTATATCGGATCTTCCTTAGGATTCTGCAATTATCCCATTTTACTTATGTTCGTTTTTTAGTATCAAGTACTTTTCGACATATACTTCTGTTCGTATATGTGAATTTGTTTGCTATAATTTTGTGTAAGACTTAATTTCTGACCTCGTGTTTTCCAGAAATTCATGGTTTGGTGAATTGATCAAAGTCGGGTTCAATATTGTTTCTTCCCCTCTTTGTTTTGATTGCATTGCTTTGAACTGTTTTTGATCTGTTCTTTAATTTGATCTCCTGCATATATACTTAGGCATATATACTTACGTACCGATGAACTTCTTAAAAGCCCTGAACGAGATGGCCTTTTAGTTGGATTGTGGAATATTAGGTGTTTGCTTTTATTGTTCAATTAGTTTGCACAATGCGGTATACCATTTGTCCCGATTCAAATATTTAACGGTAGATCTTGTTTTTGTTTTTTATGGTTGGGCATTTGTTTTGATAAAGATCGTACTGTTGATATGATTTGTTTGGGTAAGATCATTTTTTTTCTTTCTATTTGCTTTATTTCCTTTGCATAGCTCAATGAGTTGCACGTATATTAAATGTATAGGTGTTACCATCCTCACTGGTACCTAAATGGGAGTTAGATATCAACTTATGGCACCGAGTATCCACAAAATTGTTAATTATGCCCCCGATGAATTCTGGATACTATTTAAGTAAGTCTGGTGATCATAATGTAGAATGTTATAATTTTCACTCTTGATATATTGTCCTTTTTTTTGTGCTTAAATGTGCTCATTATTGTCATATTTCGATATAGGAGCAAACGAAGTTACGTGCAAAACAAAGTTATTTCGGCAATTTTCGAACAACTTAGACACCTCTACGTAAGACAACATAACTCTTTCGTCTCAACTCCAAATGTGAAGTGTAAATATGCTAAGAATTAAATTCAGGAGAAGGGTCTACAACTTTTGGAAATACAGACTGTATCAAGGTCGAATTTGTGGCCGAAGTTGTTACACCCGTAGAGACCGCATTCTGCCAATCTTGTTCAAATTTGAATTTAATACGCAACCAACTTTTCGGGGAATCCTCCAGATTTCTTGCAGCATAATTCGATTATTCTCAAGTTGAAGATGTGTTGATTATTTTAAAGTTGAAGATGGAACTGGGGAGTTTGTTAGCGCATGCACTGCCACTGTTGCCACCACTGGATATAAACAACAAATGTCTTACAGGTGTTACAAGATCTATACTGCGTAGTGGCCATTGGCAGTGAATGGCTTATATATGTACTCGATTTGCTGTCCAATTTTAGAACTGCAACGTTGTTATTTTTTTTCCCCCCCGTTAAGTATATGTAAATTGGTAACGGCCTCAAGGAAGCTTTGGATTATTGTATTTGAGAGAGTGAAGTTCAGATCTTTAATAAATAATTATGTGTTTGAAAACATAAGAATATGGGTCCTGTTAGTTGAAACCAATCTCATCAGTTTTGATTTCTAACATTTTATGGTTTTTTTACTTCTGGCTAGACCCATAATCCATCATTGAAATCAAAACACAAAGTATCCTCAATATGGATTAAAAATTATCTCACAATAATCAATTTTATTAAGAATTGAAACTCTCTGTCCACTAATGTAAATGAACCAAATCTATATTCCTACCTATTTTTTCAATATTATAAATATTGAATAAGCTCTAAATCGCAACAACAATTATAAAACATATATAGTTTACATACAAGATGAAATACGAATAACTAGAAGTATTCAAAACATGTAAAATAAAATCCTTAAGACAATCTCAGAGTCTTGCTACAAACTCAAAGTCTTGCTTCAAATTAAAACTCCATAGATATCACTTGTCAATGCACAAGAAACAACAAGTTCAATAATAAATAATTATAAAATAACTAAATAACAAGAAAGGAAAAAAGCAAATCGCCGCAAGGGTCAACAAGTGTATTTTTTTTATTTTAAGAACAACGTTTTGAAAGAATAGGATCACTTACTGTTTTCGCCACATATTGATTCTCTTTTTGGCTGTAACTCTCAAATTGTGGTAGTTTATCCATGTAACCAAACATACACAGACCCTGCCCCCATGTCAATTGAAGATTGGAAACATAAAACAATTTGCGAATTCCCGATTCTAGCAACAAGAAACACACCATTTAAAAAAGGACAAAACGAAGCAATTGTTCAAATTTCTCAACTCTAGCCGTGAGCAAGAAACAGCTTAAAAGAGAATGGAAGAACGAGTTACTGAAGCAATTCCCTCAACACAAACTCCCCCTCGGCACTCTTCCGCTGGCGAGACGATGAAGCAGAACATGAACTAGGGATTCTGTTTAATCTCGATAGCAGCAGATATTTTGGTTTGGGGAAGAACATGTGTGGGGTTCTGATTTTATTCGATGTCTATTTGCGATTATTTTTTTAATGAATATTTTAATTTATTGTTGAGTTAATAAGGTTAATTTAGTAATTTATGTAAAGTACGGTGTATGTACAATAGTGTACGATGTGTTTTTACTGGGGTCGTACATTAATTTTTAAATTTCAACTATCGTACTAGGTCGTATTAGATCGTACATTAAAATCAATGGATGAGATTAAAAGTTCAATATTTTATACGTACCCAGATTAAATATATTAGGGTCCGAGAAGTACAACCCACTCGGACCCTAACAACCCCTTGGAAGTTTGGCCACAAATTGATGTGTATGGTGTATGATGAGTCACATGGGACTATTTTTGACTTGGGTGTTATTAAATTCCCACTTTTATTGTACGCATGTTCAACTGCAATTATTAAACTCTTCACTATTAATTAAAAGTAACCCTAAGAAAAATCAATTAAATGGAGTTTGGACCCCATTTGATAAAAGTTCAATGTTATGGGCAAATTATAATAATTAATTAATCACAAAGTATTCTACATTTATTCACATATACTAAAAGCTCTTCCAAATAGCTTATAAAAATTCGAAAATACTCAACTTTTTATAGTGATCATTTCTCAGTTGTGTATCACGAAAATTTCAACTTCTCAATGTTTCCGCGTTTCAGAAATATTTCGTGTCGGAAACTCGAAGACACCTGCCGGACACCTTATGGGCCATTTTGCAATTTAAAAAAAAAAATAAGAAAAAATTTCAAATATTTTCATTGTTTCTCAAATTATTTACATGATTTAATGACCAGTTGCAAATTAATAGTTGAAAGTAAAATTTATTTTCAATATATTTGTATAAAAATATATAAAAAGAATTTATATATAAATAAAAACTTATATATGTTTATATAGAATATTTATAAATACACCTTTATACTTTTAATATTTACACGTTTCCACTAAATTCCCGTATCCCTATTTTCGGAAAATGTTGTGTGCTATATAGTTAGGTAAAAACCGGTTTATTTGATGATAAATGCACATAATCACACACACCCATGCGGATGTGTGTGTTTAGTGAAATTCTTTTTTAATTGATTTATTTAACAAAGTTTGACTTTGACGCACACTGTGCATGTTTATGCGCCAAAAATTAATGGAGATAATCTGCACTGGTTTTGGGATTAGCAATGAATGTTCTGAAGTACAAAATAAATTAATTAATATATTAAAAAAGAAAAAAAGAATCTTCAATAAACATACACTACCATCTGGCATTAACCAAAAATCACGGCGCCGAATCCGCCACTTGCCATGATCACCCACCGCCTTCCGGCGGCGGAGCACGGCCAAAAGAAAGGCAGAATAACCTTAATAAAAAAAAAAAAAAAAACCCCACCTTTTTTCATTTTTCAACTCACAAAAGCAAGCACACACCAAAAAAAAAACACTAAAAAACAACCTTAATTCACGAGCACAAACAAAACCCCCACACTATATCCTATTCTATTTCTCTGTGCCGTAGAAAATTCTCTTTCCTTTTGCTTCAGTTACCAAATCCAGAAGCAACAAATTTCAATGGTCCCAACAAGTTTTTTCACACACACACACACACACACACAAAACACGCACTAGCAGACACGAACAAGATGACCTAATTTCCCACCTCAAAGATTAAACTATGTGTAACTGAAAGAGATTTAAAAACCCACCTACTGTAATAATTGTGCAACACCTCATTAAAGCACAAACAAAAAGCAAAAAAAAAAATATTCTCTCTCTCTCTCTCTCTCTCTCTAGCTCTCCTTCTCTGTTTCTCTCTCTAACTGTGTTTCTCTCTCTTGAGCAATGGCGACACTTGAGGATATTGGGGTATCGGCAATAATAAACATACTGGGTGCTTTTGCGTTCTTGCTTGCATTTGCTCTGCTGAGAATTCAGCCAATAAATGACAGAGTTTACTTTCCCAAATGGTACATTGCTGGGAAGAGGACTAGCCCTAGGAGTTGGGGTGGTGTCGTGGGCAAATTCGTCAATCTCAATATTATTACATACTTCACTTTCCTTAACTGGATGCCTCAAGCTCTCAAGATGTCTGAGTCCGAGATTATTAGCCACGCTGGCCTTGATTCTGCTGTTTTCTTGAGGATTTACACTCTTGGGTATTTCCAATTTCCCCCCATATATATATATATATTAAAAAAAAATTCGTTCTTGATATTTTTTTTTATAAATTGGATGGTTCTGATTTCTGACTGGTGATTGTTTTTTTATTTTCTTTTTCAAGAAACGATTTTTGGATTCGAATTAAAAAAACTCATTCTTGATTTTTTTTTTAATTATTGGATGGTTCTGATTCCTGAGTGGTGATTGTTTTTTCTGTTTTTTTTTTTAAATTTCAAGAAACGATTTTTGGATTCGATTTGTCTGATTTTAGTAGTTGCAAATGTTTCATCTTATTATGTGTGTCTTAATTTTGAGGATTTTTTGCAATTCGGACTTTTCGATCAGATGATGTTTGTTTTCTTGTTCTTTTTTGGTATTTTAGGATGTGATGGCTAGTTAGTTTGATTCAAAATTGTTAATTTTAGGATTCGATTAGCGACTAATGTACTAGCTTTGTCCGTTTTAAATTTCTCTTTGATGTATTGCAATTACGATGTTCCGTATTTGGTTCGAAACTGTTTTTTTCGATTTTTTTTGTCTCTAGGATATGTATAAGAAAAATTTCGTTGAAACCTTATATGAAAGCTAAATTTGAGGAGATTGGTTTTGTTGACCTATTAAGAATATTCATCTATCCAAATTTGCTTTTCCAACAGTCCTAAAACCGACGACTTCAATTCCGGAATTGTTTTCGAGACTGTGGCATGAAAAAGTTTCGTTAGGCGATCAGATTTATCGAAAATCATATTTTTTTTAATAGATGATGCGAAAAGCTCGTTATTTACTTCACGATCTTGATTTTTAATTTTGTTTTATCATTTTGACTTCCGTCACGTCAGCTTGAAAATATTCGGACCAATCGCAATAGCAGCACTTCTAGTTCTGATCCCAGTGAATCTCTCCGATGGAACTTTGTCGTTTCTGCGCCGTGACTTGGTCGTCAGTGACATCGACAAGCTCTCGATATCTAATGTTCGTTCCGAGTCTAATAAGTAAGTTTTTTAGTGGCTGTCGTTTTCGCTACGAATAACTTGTTTAACATCACTTCAAATTTTTATATGGGCTATTTTATTTATTAATATAATTTAAATTATGTGTAGTATGTTGGAATATAAAGGTGATTTTTTTTTCCGACAAATTGGCAGGTTCTTCGTCCACATAGGAATGGAGTACTTGTTCACTCTTTGGTCTTGTTACATGCTCTATAAAGAATACGACAGAGTTGCGTCGATGAGACTTAAGTTTTTGGCTTCACAAGGCAGACGTGCAGAACAATTCACCGTTAGTCAAACTTTCGTTTCTGTTGAAATCTACGACATCGAACACACGGTTACTACTTCATTCGAAAAAAATGCCGATTATTACTAAAAAAAATGTTCGAATTATTCGTAGGTTCTCGTTAGAAACGTGCCGCGTATTTCTGGACGCTCGTTATCAGATAGCGTCGAAACCTTCTTTCAGCGAAATCACCCCGATCATTATTTATGTCACCAGGTAATAAATAGATGGTACCGATTTTTTTCTTCTTTTTTTTTTTTTTTTTTTTTTTTTTTTAACTTGTAAGTATTTTCTGTCAGGCTGTATACAATGCGAATAAGTTCGCGAAACTGATAAGAAAACGAAACAGACTTCAAAATTGGCTGGACTACAACCAGCTTAAGCATGAGAGACATCCAAACAAGAAACGGCCTACAACCGATGTATACTTCCTTATTGCTTTTTGAACAATATATTCTGAGAAAATTAAATTCGTGTCCGAACATAACATTCTCGATTTCATTGTAACTTACATTGTTTTGTTTGTCATTCAGACGGGCTGCCTCGGACTTTGGGGCGATGAGGTGGATTCAATCGACTACTACAAAGAGCAAATTAAATATCTTGATAGAAAAGTTAGTTCACCTCTCTTGTTTAACTTAGTACTCCCTCCTCCCAATATTATTCGTCGCTTTGGAGGTTTTTTTTTTCCTCCAATTATTCGTGACTTTACAATTTCAATGAAACATTAATTGAATTTATTCCAATTTTACCCATTATCACTTTTAATTAATTAATTGAAAGATATTAGTTGGCAAACAGTTAACGACAAGGGTATTTTAGTAATTTTCTATGTTTCTTTTCGGCTATGATTCATGCATATATATTGGTTTTCACGGTTAGTATACTTTACATAGAAAATTACTACAATGCCCTTTATCACTCTTAGTTAATTAATTGATAAATATTAGTTGTCATGCAACGAATTACAAGGGTATTTTAGTAATTTTAATTTTTGCTGCAATCCATGCATATATTTATTGGTTTTCTTAATTTGTGAGCAAACAACTAAAATGGGAAGGAGGGAGTATACACATCCGGGTTCTTGAATCATCTGACAATATTTTATTTATATTTTTTTAAATATCTCGATTTTTAGATAACAATGGAGCGCCAAAAAGTTCTAAAAGACTCTAAATCCATCACGCCAGCTTCCTTCGTTTCATTCAATTCAAGATGGGGAGCAGCTGTTTGTGCACAAACACAGCAGAGCAAAAACCCGACACTGTGGCTAACAAACTGGGCGCCAGAGCCACGTGATGTATACTGGCAAAATCTCGCTATCCCGTTTTTCTCACTAAGTGTTCGAAAGCTCGTGATTTCATTATCCGTATTTGCATTGGTCTTCTTTTACATGATACCTATTGCATTTGTCCAATCGTTGGCTAATTTAGAAGGGCTTGAAAAAGTTGCTCCTTTTCTCAGGCCAGTTATCGAATGGTAAGTTTTCGACTCGTAATTAAATATAAAATCATATATATATATATATATATATATATATATATATATATATATATATATATATATATATATATGCAAAGAATCTTAATTTTTTTTTTTCGTTTTGCAGGAAATTTGCTAAGTCGTTTCTGCAGGGTTTTCTACCTGGACTTACTCTGAAATTATTTTTGTATTTTCTTCCGTCGTTTTTAATGGTGATGTCGAAAATAGAGGGACACGTGGCAGTATCTGTGTTGGAAAGACGAACCGCTGCGAAATATTATTACTTCATGCTGGTCAACGTCTTTTTGGGCAGCATTGTCACGGGAACGGCTTTTCAGCAGCTTCATGCTTTCCTTCACGAATCTCCCTCGCAGTAATGTTTCCCTATATATCTCTCGTTTCTTCGCCGATTATTTTACTTTTGAAATTTGTTATTGCATTTTGTTGCATGCATAATCTAAAACAAAAACTGTTTTCGTTAGGGGTGTAAATTGGAACGTAATTTCTGAATTCCACCAATTTCGATCCGAATATTTTCGATTTTGGAACAACATTTTTCATTCCGATTCTGAAAGTTCCAATTTTCGATTTTTCCATTTTTTTGGAGCGTAATTGGAATGCATATTATATTCCGATTTCCAATCCGATTTTATCATAAGCGAATAAAAATTGGTAATTCCGAATCCGATCCGAAATTTTTTGATTTCGGAACAAGTCTTTTTGTTCCAATTTCTGAAATTCCGATTTCCAATTTTCCAAATTTTTGGAATGGAATTGGAATCAGCTTTTCACTTCCAACAAAAATTGGAATTTTTCCGAAAGTGCTCATTCCACCCCTAGTTTTCAGACAAAAGAGAAGTGTTTATTGCATGTAGTATCTTATATTAAATTGCTAAAAATGACCCCATACTATTAATATTAACTAAAAACCCCGTATAGTGCATTTTTTAGTAAACATAGGGGTCGTTCGTTAAAGAATTGCATTAAAGGAGGGGGGATTTTGCTAATTTTAGTAACAAGATGACTATTTTTAAACAATTAGAGTAAACACAAAGGTGTTGAATGCAATAAACCCAAAAGAGAATGAACTTAGAATCCAAAAGTTTATTTTGTTCTGAATGGAAATCTTTCTTGATTGCAGAATCCCTAGGAATATTGGTGTATCGATTCCGATGAAGGCTACTTTCTTCATAACATACATAATGGTCGATGGCTGGGCTGGCATTGCTGGCGAAATTCTCCGTTTAAAATATTTAGTGATTTTCCATTTAAAAAACATGTTTATTGTGAAAACCGAGAGGGATTTGGACAAAGCAATGAATCCTGGAGGTGTCGATTTTCCGGAAACTTTGCCGTGTCTTCAACTTTATTTCCTTCTCGGACTCGTGTACATGGTCGTCACTCCGATTCTTCTTCCTTTTATACTCATCTTCTTCGCCTTTGCCTACTTTGTGTACCGTCATCAGGTTAGTTTTCTACTTTCTCGAATTTCACGTATTTATATAGGCGGTGTTTGCAAAAGCTTTTGGAAAAGAAGTAAAAGTTAGTGATTATAAGTAATTCTTGAAATATTCTCAACAGGTTATAAATGTGTACAACCAACAATACGAGAGTGCCGCAGCATTTTGGCCGCACGTACACGGTCGTATTGTAGCGAGCTTACTTATTTCTCAACTCCTCCTATTGGGACTTATCGGCACGAAAAAGGCGGCAAACTCCACTCCTTTGCTTGTGGTGCTTCCTATATTAACTCTCACTTTCCATAAATACTGCAAGAATCGCTTCGAACCCGCATTCCGAAAATACCCTCTTGAGGTAAATAATTATTTTTTTGGGTAAACTACAACCACCCCCTGAGGTAAAGTGTAATTACAAAAATACCCCATCTTTTTGTGAAATTACATCCAGCCCCCCTGCAGTTTGTAAATTTCTTACATCCACCCCCTACAAAGGGTGTTAATGTAATAAGGGAAAAATAAGGGGGGTTTTCGTAAATAGACCTTACCTCATGGGGTCGGTTGTAATTTGCCCTTAATTTTTTTTTTCATTTTTGTCTAATCGTAGAAAAAATTCTGAATTTTTGATTGGCTATTCGTTTTTTTTTTTTATATCAGGAAGCAGTGTCGAAGGACGAACAAGATCGTGCTACTGGATCCGAAATTGACTTGAAATCTTACTTGGCGGATGCTTATCTCCACCCCATTTTCCACTCGTTTGAGGAAGTCGATTTGGTTGAAGTAAAAGTCGAAAACGCCCCTGCCCAACCACAAGCAGAAGCAAAAGCCCATATCGAAAGTTCTTCTCCGAGTGAGCTTAGTTCTCCCTCTCCTCACCATGCACACCATCTAGAAGACGAGCCTTCACAAACGGTGCAGCACTATGAATTTGAAGCGCCTCATAGCGCGTACCACTACGAAGCCGAACAAAATTATACAGCTTATCATTACGAAGTTGAATCGCAGAGTGACGTGTATAGGTATGATAGTGAGCCACACTATCAATACTATCACTATTGAAGTTCGATTTTTTTTTTCTTTTGTTTTTTTTTAAATGTGATTAATTAGTTGTAAGTTCAACTTGTTAGATATATAGATTAAATTTTTTGATTTGCTGTAAGATGTTGTAAGTATTGTCAATTGATTGATGTAAATTTAAACAAGTTGTAAAAATTTTGCACCTCGATATATCTTCGTCTTGATACTTCCAAGAACAATAATGTAAGTTTCGTAAATTCTACATATCGACAACGGAGCTTCGTTTGTTAGTAAAATAAGCTATCATTGATTCAAATATAGTAAATTATATTTTAAAATTCAAATAAGATGTCTTCTAATGTATGATATTTTCAGAGGGTAGTAAAATGTAAAAAAGAACCTATGATAGTAAAATATTATTATTTTTTTTATTAATAAAATTAAATTTATGATGGTTTTTGTAATATATTTAAAATATGAGGATCTATATGTAATTAAAAATTACATTAAAAATTAAAATCACGTTTTTTCGTTTTGATAAAAACGTTTCTTTCTGTTTAGCGGTTTTTACTTTCGTTCTTCGTCGTCAACTGGTTGCGTTCTTGTTAATCCCGCTGATGATTCGTGCTGAATTTGGTCTGTAACAGAGCCACCACCACCACCGCCACCACCATCACCACCACCATTCCTCCTTTCATTTTAATTTTCTAATTACTTTAGCGCCGTCTCAGAAGCAGCGCTCGACCTACCGTCAGCGCTCCGTCGGCCGTCCGCCGGCACACCCGAGCACGATTAGGCTCTGGTTTCTCCGTAATCGAGGTCCCAAATTTCCCGATCTTCAAAACCTAGCTGCCGAATTGCATCGTAAGAACTCAATCTCCGGTCCGCTCCACCTACTGATGTGTAAGGTCTCCATCACTCAATCTCTCTAGAAATACACAAAAGAACCACAGATTCTAAATTGCTTGGATCTATTTTTGTGCTGCATTGTTTTTTTCCCTCTGTTTTGGAAATTTATCTGAATTTTAGATAATTGATTATTGGATATCAGATCAATGTGATAATGTTACGATCAAATTTTGAAGCCCTTTCGATTAATTTTCTCCCCATAATGCATCCTTGATCTTTCTCTGATAGCTTCTATTGATGCATCTATTGATCCTTGGTAGATTGTACTTTCGCACATCAGTTACTTCATGTGACGAGGTTTGTCTAATTCCGTGCATTTAGTCTAATTTTTGTCTACCCCCTGTCAGATTGTTCGTTCCACCAATTAGAGTTGTGCACTTCAAGACCTTCAAGACCGGGTTAACCTGTGAAGCATGGAATCATCCGGTATGAAAACTGTTTTTGTAGATTTAGATTCTGTTGGTTGGTTTTTTTATTCTCTTTTAGAAGTTTGAGTGCCTTCTATAGAACATAAATTAATTGAAGGAGAAAAAGAGAGGAATAAGATACGACAGAGAAATCAAATATTGGTCTTATTGTACCCTAGATATGGTCAATAAGAATTTATGTGACGATTTCTTCTGCAGTTAAGTAAGGGGCTGGCAAGTTCTTGCCTAGTTTTTCAATTTTAATGTCTACATTTTCATTTACACGAAAAGCTGATTAAATGGGCATTCTCATATAGACATTGTAGATTTATGAAGTCAGTTTTCAGGGGGAATTTGTTCAAATGATTTAGTGTAATTACCAGTGCACAATATTAACAACGAAAGCAATGAGCTGAAATTCAGCAAAACAAAGTTTCAGTTAACCTCTATAATTAATGGGATATCATAATATAGGTTTCTAGGTGAGATTGGGTGAATTTGTAGCATTTTTCATCACTTCACTGGGAAGTGTCAGATGTGTTCTTCTATTAATATGATTTTAACAATTGATAGTGATTTAGACCATTCCTCTTAGGAACTTTTATCAGGTGGAACATATCAACATGATACCCGAATCTGCAGAAATTTATTGTTTTTCCATTTTTTGTTTCATTAAGCTTGTATCTTTGCAATGATTAACTAATTCCCTTTGTAGTAGATTTGTATTGCGTCTTTATTGTATCATTTATTCGATAAAAATTAGATACGGGGTTTGTTTTTTACCATCTTATCTCTTTGTCTGAAGACAAGGGCCCTGAGTTTATTATATGGGGTTTATATTTGAAAAATATCAAGTTGTCTACGTACAAGTTGCTAAAATTCGGCTCAGAACACCACCATATAATGCCGAAAAAGATATTGTAACTCGTACTGTCTTTTTTTTTTTTTTTTTTTTTTTGAGTAAATTCAAGTCCATTACAAGGGGAAGTAGGGGGGGGGGGGACTCGAACCCTAGACCTTTACCCTAGACCTTTACAAGGGGAAGTAGGGGAGGGGAAGTCTATTGTAACTCATGCTGTCTTAATTCATCATAATCACCACAAAAAACAGCAGATTTTGTTTACTTATTTCACTCAACTACTTCGCACCAGTGAGAGGAATAGACAAATTTCAATTGAATTACTGTACTTCTATATTTGCCTTCTGCTCGCAACTAACAAATTCAGAGACCATGCGTACTTGTTTATTTTATAAAATACTAGTTTTGTTTTAAAATTTGGATATGTTTACTTAAGTTTCCATATTCCTTTTCCCCCTAATTCTTGATTATGTTTTATTACATATTGCAGCTGGTTGTCTAAGGGATACTTCTGTTGTTGTTGTCACATTGGAGTCAAGTGAAGTGTATATTATCGTCAGTTTGTCTACTAAGACTGATACTCAGGTTATCTATATTGATCCGACAACTGGGGCTCTTCGTTATTCTGCAAAGCAGGGTTATGATGTTTTCAAGTCCCAAAAAGAAGCATTAGATTATGTCACCAATCATTCAAAATGGCTTTGCAAGAGTATAACATATGCAAGTGCTATATTAGGCTATGCAGCACTTGGCAGCTACGCTGTATTGCTGGTAGCAACAAGATTGACTGCCGGTATACCAAATTTGCCCGGTGGAGGATGTGTTTACTCTGTAACTGAGAGCCAGTGGATTAGAGTTTCACTCCAGAATCCTCAACCACAGAGTAAAACCGAAATTAAGAATGTTCAAGAACTGACTGAGTTTGACATAGATGGGAAACATTACTTCTGTGAAACTAGGGACATAACTCGACCCTTTCCAAGTCGTATGCCAGTGCAGAACCCTGATGATGAATTTGTGTGGAATAAATGGTTCTCCGTGCCTTTCAAAAACATTGGGCTTCCCCAGCATTGTGTCATTCTTCTGCAGGTTTTTGTTACACTATCTTCATATTTGTACTATCAAGACATTCGTTTGACTCACTAATTGTTCATTCTTTTGAAACTATGCTTAGCTCATCTTCCAGTGTCGGGCCACATTGTATTGTATTCTTCAGCTGGATCATTTATAAAGCCAAAAAGTTGTTTATCAAAAGATGTATGCCTATTTCTCTTTGGCGAGTGATTGCTATCTATTTAATTCATCTTTTGGGAAATAAATATTTTAGATTCTACCGGTGCTTCAGAATGTAGAGAGTTGTGCTTTAATTGGGGTAGGGAATATATCAAGCTGTCATATACAAGCTTTCTATTTAATTTGTCTTGGTTCTCCTGCAAACTTTGCTAGCCAAATGCAAACTTTACTCAAGTATAGTTGTCTATACTTGAGTAACCTTGTAACATACTAACATCACATCTTTCTGTACCTCCAATTTTGGTGATTTTCTACTTTTTGTACAAAATCTCCATCACTTTGCTTATTTATATGAACCAGTCACATTCATTAGTACTCAGATTCTAGGGGGTCCAGCATAACTGGACAACTAGAGTTCTTGAATTCTTTCTGAATATGACCTACTAGTTCTTGGTGGATGACATTCTCACTTAATTGTTAACCAACATACAGGGATTTGTTGAATCCAAAACTTTTGGTAGCCTTGGGCAGCAGGAGGGGGTTGTTGCACTCACTGCTCGTCGTAGTAGGTTGCATCCTGGAACTCGGTACCTAGCCAGGGGTTTAAACTCATGTTATAGCACAGGTAATTCTTCTTTGATATCTACTAGCTTTGATACATTGGTTTTCTTTCTTCTTTTGCTTGCAATTGCTCATAGTTGCTGTTGCAGAATGTACTTAAGAGTCTTACAAGGAGAAGAATGCTATTTATCTGCCTGCAAATCTGTCTATTTTAATGCTATTGGTCTTTATTAGTTTTTTTATTGCCCAGTACATGTTTCAGATTGATGTTTTTGCATTATCTTCAACTGGCAACATTATTTTCTAAATTTTGCATGGATGTGCACTTGATATGGTTATATATTCTTCACCATATCCTTATTCACAACATCGTTGAACAAGATTAAATTGGGTCTCCTAGTTGAATTTATTTTCTGACCAAATAATTTTGGATATTACTTTCACTTTCAACAGAGAACTATTCTTTCCAAATAACTAACAGAAAAGTATCTTAGGCACCGTGGCCAGGGTGAGATTTTACGTTGGAATTGCTCCATATAGCAGAATAGTGGTCACGTGTCTGCTGTTTATTGGTTAAGTTGCTGATTCGCCGGAGGCGAAATTGTTGAACATCAATTTTATTGTACCAAGAATAGGTAGCTTATGATGATAACATATATTTTGATGCAAAGTGGATTCTTTCTTCCAACTTCTTCCTGATATACTCAAGATGTTTTTCCCATCAGTTCCTTTTTTTTGGCCTAACCACCTATAGTTATATGTTTGTGCAAGGGCATGTTGTTTTATATACTTTATTTTATTTTGTGTTATTTTCTATGTCACCTCCTATTTTTTTTTTTTTTTTGTTCACCTGACGGGGGGGGGGGGGGGGGGGGGGGGCAAAACCCTTTTTTTTTTTTTTCCCCGGGGGGGGGGGAATAGTCTTACTTTTTAGTCATGTATCAGTGGTATTTATCATATCCAGTTTTACAATATAATGCTAATGCAATTCACATTTTTGTTTGCGTTGCGTACTTTTCCCCTTTGCCTCTCATGTACTTTGTTGTTTGGGCAGGCAATGAAGTTGAGTGTGAACAACTTGTTTGGGTTCCCAAAAGAGCTGGTCAAAGTGTTCCATTCAGTACGTATATTTGGCGTAGAGGCACCATTCCTATGTGGTGGGGTGCTGAATTAAAGCTTACTGCTGCAGAAGCAGAAATATATGTATCGGAGCGTGATCCTTATAAAGGAAGTGCTCAGTACTATCAGAGGTTGTCTGAAAGATATGATGCACGAAATTTGGATGCAGCTGTTGGTGGTAGTCAGAAAAAAAGTGCTTTGGTTCCAATCGTATGCGTCAACTTATTAAGGAACGGAGAAGGGAAATCAGAATGCATTTTAGTTCAGCATTTTGAAGAATCCTTGAATTATATTCGTTCCACTGGAAAACTTCCTCATACTCGAATTCACTTGATAAATTATGATTGGCATGCCAGTGTAAAATTGAAAGGTGAACAGCAAACAATTGAAGGACTATGGTATCTTCTAAAGGCACCCACAGTTTCTATTGGCATTGCTGAGGGCGATTATTTACCTACTCGCGAAAGGATTAAGAATTGCAAAGGTGAAATAATCTTGAATGATGACTATGATGGCGCCTTCTGCTTAAGATCACATCAAAATGGAGTAATTCGTTTCAATTGTGCGGATTCTTTGGATAGAACAAATGCTGCTAGTTTCTTTGGTGCTCTCCAGGTTTTTATGGAGCAGTGTAGACGGTTAGGCATATCACTTGACAGTAATATGGCTTATGGTTATCAATCAGCTGGTAACAATGCTGGATATGTTGCTCCGTTGCCTCCTGGCTGGGAGAAACGGTCTGATGCAGTGACTGGGAAAGCATATTATATTGATCATAACACTAGGACTACAACCTGGAGTCATCCTTGTCCAGATAAACCGTGGAAAAGATTTGATATGACCTTTGAGGAGTTTAAGAGATCAACAATCTTATCACCTGTATCTCAGTTAGCTGATCTATTCTTAACTGCTGGTGATATTCACGCAACCTTATATACGGGTTCCAAAGCCATGCACAGCCAAATTCTTAGCATTTTTAACGAGGAAGCAGGAGGCAAGTTTAAACAGTTCTCTGCTGCACAGAATATGAAAATCACCCTACAGAGAAGATATAAGAACGCAGTTGTAGATAGTTCGCGTCAGAAGCAATTACAGATTTTTCTGGGACTAAGGCTCTTCAAACATTTTCCTTCAGCCATGATACATCCTTTACATGTATGTACTCTCTAGATTTGAGCAACTAACTTGCCTCTGTAGTTCATGTCTCCTCACTGTGATTGTTGCTTAGGCTGTTCTTGGTTTTTGTTAGTTTTTATTCTCTTTACTAATCCTCTTCTCCCTGCAAATCCTTCTCTCATTAAGGTCTTCATATCACCAGAATTGCTTACTCAGAAAGCTTCTTTTGAAATTATGATACTCATCTGTCTACAATTGAATATAAATGAAATCTTTTGCGTTCCTTTGCTACACTGTTGAATGCTGAGCAATGTTAGTATTAATTTCTAAACGAAGTCCTCAACCTCTTTTAGTTTTAATTTCTAAACGAAGTCCTCAACCTCTTTTAGTTTTTGCATTGTCATCTTGAGTTTAAGTTTATCAGCTGAATCTTCTCTTATCCTTTTAACTGTAATATTAATGATGTTGCTGAAATCAAATTTTAGTTGTAGTTCTACTGGTCCGAACACTTGAATCTTGAAGCTGATGGAAGAAAAACTTGACATTAATATATATTTAAAAATCCATCATATCTGAACTAGAATTCCAAAAGAATCCAAGCTGAGGTTGAAACAATTAGGAGGCAGCTTTTCTGAATGACTAAAACTAATCCGAGCACATCTTTTAATGCAGTTTGATTTTCTGAAAAAATGTTTAAAATGCACCTGTCATGATATATATATATATATGTAGATTAGGTGATCTTTGTGTTAATGGATGTGTGATAAAATAAATTCAACAGCACATATGACTAAGTGATTTGATATGTTAATGTAGACTGTCTTCTCTATTTTACAATCTTTATTAACTAGATCTCCACTTCGTATAATGACTCAAAATTTAACTGAGTCTGTGAGTATGATGTTTGAGGTTCAGAGGATTTGGGCTGTTCTTTGACTGTATTTTATCATCCTTCATCTGTCATTTGATTATTGTAATGTAAGTGTGTTTGCAGTGAAGATTATAGAATGGAAAAGGGGTTGTAAGAACTGTTAGAAGATGTTAAAATGATCAGAACTGTCAAAATATCTCGATCAATCGTACGCTTTCACTTTAATTGAAGATCCTATCTTCGTAAACCGGATTGATTTATGCCATGTTATGCTATAGCCACATGCTGAAGTTAGCAGTATTGATGATTTCTGTTGATTACCACAGGTTCCTTCTCGGCCTTTCGGATGCTTTTTGAAGCCAGTTCCAAGCATGTTTACATCTTCTGATGGTGGAGCCAGTCTTCTGAGTTTTAAAAGAAAAGACCTTATATGGGTATATGATTTAATTTTGTTAGTGCACTTAATAGTTGGTCTCCATTTTCTGAATTCTGTTAGTTGAATCCTCGTCCGATACCAGTTAAGATGCCCATTGCTTTTCTATGTATATACCAGGTTTCTGCACATGCTGCAGACGTGGTTGAACTCTTTATCTATCTTGGCGAGCCTTGCCATGTTTCTCAGCTTCTTCTCACTGTTGCGCATGGTGCTGATGATACTACTTTTCCATCAACAGTTGATGTGAGAACTGGGCGCTATTTGGATGGACTTAAACTTGTTCTTGAGGTCTGGTATACCTCTATGTTGATCCTCAAACTTTCTTTGACCTTTTTGTATATATCTATGCCTTTTTTGTCATGTTTTTCCGGCTGGCTTTCATTTAATTTCTTGGACAAATATAGGAAATTGTTTAGTTCTTTGCTGAATCATTTCATGTCTGTTTGGCCTAGAAGAACGTATTGCTACTGTATATAAAGAGTTACAACGGTTGTAAGTCTGCCCAGTCTAACTTGAGGGTTACAAAGGTGTAGGTGCACATATTGTGTTTTCTGGCTTTTGCATTTTGGAAGCTATTGAGCTAGACTTGAGGTTAAAAGCATTTGCAAATGCTGTAATGTCTTTTACTTGGGGAGCCATAAGATGATTTTGTGTGTTGAAGAAAAAGTCTGAAATAGTAAATTAGGGGTATGGCTCTTTTTTAGTCTTGGTCTTTGATCTATACTTGGTTAACATTCTTTTACTATTTTTGTCGAAGAGATTAAGTGGTACTGATATCTGCAGTTGAGTTCTCTGTATCTTCAGTTTTCCTGCTTGTTTAATCACTTTCTTTCCCCTTCTGAAAATAATTAAAATCATGTAACAGAAATCTAATGGCTGGTTTTCTTTTCCTTTATTCATTCCTCATTTTGATTTTTGCTAATGCCGACGTTTCATTTATCATTTTTACATATTTTGCAATCAGAAGAAATCTAAGTTCATTAGAAGTACTGAAGTAGGTTTATTTTTGTAAGATGCTGTGTTCAGTTAGCCTTAATGGTTTTTTATTTGACATTTAACTATTCACAGGGAGCTTCTGTACCTCAATGTGCAAATGGTACAAACATTGTGATACCATTAACAGGACCAACCAGTCCTGAAGATATGGCTGTCACTGGGGCAGGTGCACGTTTACATGCACAACAGCCCTCTAACCCGTTCATGTTATATGATTTTGAAGAACTGGAGGGAGAACTTGATTTTCTTACTCGTTTCGTAGCGGTAACATTTTACCCTGCTGTGCCTGGAAGAGGCCCAATGACACTTGGTGAGGTATGAACTGTCAAGTGAATGTTATCTGAAGAACTATATTGAAAGGATACCATTATTCAACTTAATTATATGTGCAGGTAGAGATCCTTGGAGTTTCTCTTCCATGGAGGTCATTATTTTCTCATGGCGACGGTGCTGCTAGATTTATTGAACACGTAAATGGTCAAACAAAAGAAATAAACCCTTTTCTGTCCGAAACAAATTCCAATACATTAGCTGCTGTCGTAACAAATGATAGAAAGCCTCCATCATTGCAGTCAGAATCATCAGCCATCCCGTTGATTGACCTTCTGACTGGAGAAGTAATACTTCCAGACTCTAATTCTCAGCCAGTTGCAGAAAGTGTTGTTCACGAGGGGAGTGACTTACTTGACTTCTTGGATGATGTTGTCACTCAGCCAGTTTCTGGTGGAATGAACCAGTCCAAGAATGTTTCATCCCAAGGACCTTCAGATAATGGTTCTCAACAATATATTAGATTGTTCAAACTTTTAGCTGGGCCTGACTGGGTATGTTTGTTTCTCAATTAACATTCAACTTCTACTGGTTTGCTGCCTGCTGAATGTGTATTCTCATTTGAGTCTCGTGACATTAAGGCATCCTGATATTCAAATTGATTATGGACTTACATTTTTAGTTAGACCCATCTATTACGGGTGCTTCACGTTCGTCTTTGATGAATCTAAATAGGTTATTCGTTGATTTTTCTCGGTGTTTCATTCTGTTGTTTAAGTCATCCAAAATATATCTTTTGAATTCTATTATTTTGATTTATTATCGAATGTGCTTCATTGACCAACAGATGCTAACTTTGTGCATTATTTCTGTCATCGATAAAAATAGCAGGATAGAAGTTTAGATTTCATGGAATCTATGAAGCTGGAAATAGAGCGTTTTCGGCTTAATCTTTCTGCTGCTGAAAGGGATAGAGCCCTCTTATCAATAGGCATTGATCCTGCTAGCATAAATCCACATATGTTGCTCGAGGATTCATATATGGGACAACTATACAAGGTGGCAAGCTCCCTTGCATTGCTTGGGCAGGCTTCAATAGAAGACAAAATTACTGCTTCAATTGGGCTTGGAACATCTGATAAAAAATCGGTTGATTTCTGGAACATTACTGCAATTGGGGAGAGGTGTTCAGGTGGTGCATGCCAAGTTCTTGCTGAAACTGGGCATGCTGCTGGTGCATCCTTGACGTCATCATCTTCAATGACTTCGGAATCCATTTTTGTCTGTACTGAATGTAGAAGAAAGGTTTGCAGAGTTTGTTCTGCAGGTAAAGGAGCTCATCTGCTTGCATCTTATAACTCAAAGGAGAATTCAGCTTACAATGGTGTAACTAGCCAAGGAGGATCAGTCCATGGAAATTCGGCTGATGCATCTTCAAATCACTCAGCAACCCTTGATGGGGTTATGTGTAAATCATGCTGCAATGAAGTTGTCCTTGATGCACTGATTTTGGACTATGTTAGGGTCTTGATTAGCCAACGGAGAAGAACTAGGGCGGGTGACGCTGCAGAGAAAGCACTCTTCCACGTATTTGGATTGTCTTCGAGAAATTTAATTCCTGAAAGAGACGAATTTCTAAAGAGTCAAGGAACTGCTACTAAGGTCTTAGAGAAGTTAACAGATGGAGAAGAATCGCTTGCAGAGTTTCCATTTGCCAGCTTTCTACACCCGGTATTTCTATGAATTCCTATATAATATATCAAGAAATTTTATGCCACCTTTTCACTTGGGAAGAAAATATGAAGTGTTTTTGTCTGCGTTCATGGTGCTCAGAAATGCTTATTTTTCATATATACTTCAATCAGTTAGCTGTAACTTTATATTATGTAGGTTGAGACAGCAGCAGGTTCAGCACCCTTGTTATCATTGGTTGCTCCTTTAAATTCTGGGTCACAAGAATCTTACTGGAGAGCACCCCCTAGCATCTCGTCTGTGGAATTTGTCATTGTCCTCAGCGATATTTCTGATGTCTCTGGTGTTGTCCTTCTGGTTAGTCCATGTGGCTATTCGATGTCCGATGCTCCTACTGTAAGTATATGCTCTATGACTGCACTCTGATGTCAGTTTACTACCTACCAGAATTTTGCTTTATTTATTTGTATCTTTCTGCTTTTATGCAGATACAAATCTGGGCTAGCAATAAAGTAGACAAGGAAGAGAGAACATGCACAGGGAAATGGGATATGCAGTCTCTGGTTACATCTTCATCCGAACTTTGTGGTCGAGAAAAGTCACTTCAAGACGGCAAATTGCCTAGACATGTCAAATTTGCCTTCAGGAATCCTGTCAGATGCCGCATCATTTGGGTGACCATGCGTCTCCCAAGACTTGGTTCTAATTCTGTCAACATTGAAAGAGACTTCAATCTTTTTTCCATGGATGAAAATCCCTTTGCGCAAATCGACCGGCGTGCGTCCATTGGTGGAGAAATTAATAGTGATCCATGCATTCATGTGAAAAGAATTCTAGTGGTTGGCAAATCTGTTGGAAGAGAAATAGTGTCGTCCTCACAAGGTTCTGACCAAGTAAATGTGAAAAACTGGTTGGAGAGAGCTCCACCACTGAACCGATTCAAGGTGAAACTGAAGTTTCTTGCCACTATTTATCATACGATATTTTTCTTTTATGAAAAAAACTAATTGGCTGAGAAATATCTAGGTTCTCAGAACTATTTTCTATTCGGATTTCAGAATCTGTTACACATTAATTGGCTGAGAAATTGCCTTTGAACTTTTCAGATTCCAATTGAGGTCGAAAGATTAATAGACAATGATCTTATTCTGGAACAATTTCTACCACCAGCTTCACCTATGCTTGCTGGATTTCGTCTGGATGGTTTCAGTGCAATAAAGCACCGAGTTAACCACTCGCCTGCTTCAGATGTAGATATAGATGGTAGTAACTCTCTTTTAGACGAGAGGCTCACAAATCCTGCCGTGCTCTATATTCAAGTCTCCGCCCTCCAGGTACTGCAAAGATGTTTACAATTGTGCTGTTTAATATATCATTTCAAACTATTTTTATTTATTTTTAAAATAACTAGTATTAGGTTTATTCTGGCTTAATTAAGTTGAGCAGTTCTTCAAACTCCTAAATCTTTTCCAAAATATTGTTACCCGCCAGGGCATATGGCCAAGGAGCAATAATGGGCCATAGGGACCTAATTTTTCACCAATTTTAAAACCCGTCAATTGTTCAATTCTTGATTAGCCAGTTGCTAAAAGAATTTGATAACGTTCTTAAACATAGATGTTACATTAGGGAAGGCTCTAGATAAGAGGCTTTGGGCTACATTGTAGGTTCACCACATGACAGGAAATTACAGCTGTTACTGCAAATTCCTTGCTAAATTATCTCAAGTATTTAGGCCTCGTTTGATTCCCAAGATAAGATTATCCAATCTTATGAGAAATTAAAATTGTATAATTACACTTTAAGAGATTATTTTTCCATAATTGCAGGCTTGCCATCCCGAAAAGTGACTGCAATAACCAAACATCAAATAAGACCTAATTATTTAACCAATCGTGACTTTCCTTACCAACCAAACGAGTCCTTGCATTATGTTCGTTTTGGTTGTTCTAGATCACAAATTAGGTCTCAATTTGGCTAACATTTTGACAACGAGTTACCACGTATCTGTTACTCCGTGTACATTTTCATTCATATTACTTAATTTTGTATTTCATAACTCAATCCACCATTTTTCTCCACAGGAGTCCCACAATATGGTCACTGTTGCAGAGTATCGTCTACCAGAAGTCAAAGCAAACACACCCATGTACTTTGACTTCCCTCGCCAGATAAGCACTCGTCGTGTAACATTTCGGCTACTTGGAGATATTGCTGCATTTTCCGATGACCCGTCAGAACAAGATGACTCGGAATTCAAAGCTTATCCATGGGCTGCAGGGCTGTCTTTGGCAAACAGAGTTAAGTTGTACTATTATGCCGATCCTTACGAATTGGGGAAATGGGCCAGTCTTTCTGCTGTCTGATTAACACACATCCAACTCTCTGCACTGAAAAAAGGCGAATTCTTGAGAATCTCATTTTATTTCGGTATAGTACGTTTCTATTTTCTTTGCTTGATTGTTCGAACATTAGAGTTGGGAATGCTGCCATTTTTTTGTAAATTAGCAATTTGTGATTCTTCTTGTTTATGGTCTTGAGTTTATGTAATCGAATTATTCATTTTTTTTTTCTTTCTTTTTTTCGTCTTAAATGTGTAATGTTGTATAAAGTATAAAACCGACATCCTTCGTTTGGTGCGATGTTGCCTGCATTTTACCTGGTGTTTTTGCAAATGGAATGTAGGAAACTACGGTCTCTTGATTTCATATTATTTGCCCATCTCAAAAAAAAAAGATTTCATATTATTTGTAAGGGGTTACATAACTTAGCACTATCATTTTATATGTTATAATCCAATAGCTTATATATTATAATAAATCAAGAAATTAATTCTTAAAATTCAAAAATAAATATAACAAATTATATTTTGTAATAAATATGATTAAAAAAAAAAAAAACTCTTAAAAGTTGAGAATTTTAATAAATAGGCAAGTAAAGTTATAAATATAGTGAATTACAAAATTATAATACTACACTTTAAAAAATTGACCAAAAGATTCAGAAAATCGAGTATTTTAATAAAATATGGCAATAAACTTTTGAATTTTGGCAGTCAGCTTCCTAAATATAAGCTCAAATATGATTTTTTTAACAAAATATGACAATGAACTTTTGAAAATTGAATATCCTCATTAGTGATTTTTGGAAATTGAGTAATATTAACTTAATAGGCGGTGAACTTGTAAAAGTGAGTTGACTTTGTCAACATAATATGACCAAACTTCTAAACCAGTCAACGATTTGACAGTGAACTTTTGAAAATTTGCAGCTTACTTCAGACAATCGGGAAAAATTAACATTAAATTTGTAAAAAAATTTGTAACGTAAAACCTTTATAAATTAATATAGTTGAAAATTAGGATTATGGAAATTATATTAATTTAGTGAATTAATAAATTATCGAGTTAATAATTTAGTACATTTTTACCAAGTGGGGACCGAGAGAAACTATTGTTTAATCGAGATTATTAATTTGTATTCGTCTTTTAGGCATATTGGCTCACCCCTTTAATTAGGTTTAGGAGATATTCAACAACTATTAATTAATTAATTAATTCTTGCCTTAAAAAACAAAATTATTAGAAAGTCCCGCCAAAGAATCTTGTCGTTTTCACAACTCTGCGCCACAAAAACAATTTCACACACCCAGCTGCTTTTAACGCCAATGCCTTCAATTTTGTCTCGGCCCAAATCCCCCACTTCTGCTCTGAGGTTGCCAGAAATTCGGAGAGTGGTTCTCATTTTTTTTCATATCTTCTGTAATTGAATTATTATGCTTTTCTTCTTTCTTTTTTGTGTGTCCCTAAATGGTCTCTCTTCTGGTATTCGATTTCGAAATTTGAGCAACCCCAAACTCTGATTCATACAGAATATTAACTCTCTCTCTCTCTCTCTCTCTCTCTCTCTCTCTCTCTCTCTCTCTCTCTCTCTCTCTCTGTACTAATGGCGGCTACATTCTTGAAAGCCCATGTAGACTTTCATCTGTCTAAAGAGAAAAAACAAGAAGGGGCTAAAAAATCGCCCCCCAATCCTTCATGGTATTGCCCTGAAACAGGAATATACCGCAGCATATACCCATCTCTCAATTTACCATCCGACCCTTTTCTTGATGTTGTCTCCTTCATCTCTTCACAAAACCAAACCGGCGGGAATCACGCGCTAATCGATTCCTCAACCGGTCTCTCACTTTCTTACACCACACTCTTCTCATTGGTCAAATCATTTGCATCTGGTCTGCACCACAGCATTGGTGTCAAGCAAGGTGATGTAATCTTGATTCTGCTGCCGAATTCCGTTTTCTTCCCCGTCGTTTTCTTGGCTGCTTTGAGTGTTGGAGCGGTCGTAACCCCAATGAACCCTTTGAGCAGTTTGTCGGAGATCAAGAAACAGGTTCTCGATAGCAGCGCGTCCCTCGCGTTTACCCTCGTGGGTAAAGTCGATGAATTGGTTGGTTCGTTGGGAGGAGGTTGCCGTGTGATCGGAGTGCCGGAGGATATGTTCGATTTCGACTCTCTGCGTAGCGATGGTTCGGTTTTCGGTGAGCTTGTTTCGAGCGATCCTAGTTTGGCTCCTAGGCCTAGAATCGCGCAAAACGACACCGCGGCGATTTTGTACTCGTCGGGCACTACGGGCAGGGCTAAAGGAGTTATGCTTACGCACGGCAACTTTATAGCGATGATGGTGCTTTTCGTGAGATTCGAAGCTTCGATGTACGATTATCCTAGTACGGAGAACGTGTACTTGGCGGTTGTGCCTATGTTTCATGTGTACGGTTTGTCTCTCTTTGTTATGGGGTTGTTGTCTTTGGGGTGTACTATTGTCACAATGAAGAAATTCGGTGCCAATGAAATGGCGACAGCTGTCGAGAGATACGGTGTCACTCATCTTCATGCTGTGCCGCCTTTAGTGGCGGAGTTGGTGAGACGAGCAAAGAGAGATGGTTCGTGTAATAGTTTCCGGAGCTTGAAACAAGTTTCTTGTGGGGCCGCCCCGTTGAGCGAAAACAGCATCAACGAATTCAAAGAAACGTTTCCTCGCGTCGATTTTATTCAGGTACTTAATTGAGCTAAATTTCGATTCCATAAGTTTGTTGAATGCAAATGAAAACGAAAAAATCGATCGATTTTTTTCAGGGCTATGGAATGACAGAGACGACAGCTGTGGGGACTCGCGGCTATAATACGATCGAGGCTCGGAAATATTCTTCTGTGGGGCTTTTGTCTCCGAATGCCGAGGGTAAAGTGGTAAATTGGGTCACCGGTGCTCATTTGCCGCCAGGTTCCGTCGGCGAGCTGTGGTTGCACACACCTGGAAACATGAAAGGTAATTTTGCGACCGCATTGAATTTCGTCTCGTTTTTTTTTTATATGATTGTTTTCTTATAAATGTAACTTATTATGGAGTTTCAAGATTGGATCTTTTTTATGCAATAGGGTATCTAAATAATATCGAGGCAACTATGGCAACAATCGATAAAGACGGTTGGCTGCATACTGGAGACATCGTTTATTTCGATAACGAAGGATACTTATACGTAATCGACCGATTGAAAGAGATCATCAAGTACAAGGGTTTCCAGGTACGCAATCGGTCTACACTATTTACCGATACATAGATTTTATTTTTTATTTTTTTTATATTCATAAAAAAATTAACGCAATATCGAATTTTGTTTTTGCAGGTTGCTCCTGCTGATTTGGAGGCAGTGCTAATGTCGCATCCGGAGGTACTCGATGCAGCAGTAATCGGGTAATTTGAAAATTCTCGTTTTTTTTTTAACAGTGTTTTTAACTATTAAATGAAATCCATTTTTCGGTTCATTTTCGACATAACTATCTTTACATGTAATACAATATTACGTAAACGGAACTTAAATTCACCGTTTGTATTTACGGTTAATCAGTGCAAGGGACGAAGAAGCCGGTGAAATACCGGTGGCATTTGTTGTCCCGAAAGAGGGTAGTTCGATCTCTCAGGCAGCTCTACTCGACTTTGTAGCCAAACAGGTCACTAATCCAACTTAATCCGATTAACACATTTTTTACTTTACGGATTACGATTTTACGTTTGATTAGATTTACTACAGATGGTCAATTGAATATTTTGTTGATATTTGCAGGTTGCGCCGTATAAGAAGGTGAGAAAGGTTCATTTTCGAGCTTCGATTCCAAGATCAGCTGCCGGTAAAATTCTTCGACGGGAGCTGAGGAACTTGTTACCTTCAAGGCTTTAAGTCCTATATATATATATATATATATATATATATATATATATATAATTAATTCAAGAAGGTGAGAAAGGGTCAAATCCCAGATCAGCTTCTTATCCACAAGAACTTCAATGGGTGCAAAAAATCACAATAAATATTGTCAATAATTTTATTCTTTATTTATTTATTTTATTTCAAATTAATTAAATGTCAACAACCAAGAAATTTCAATACAGATCAGGAAAATGTATTACAGAATGACTTTTTCTTTCTTAGAAAAAGTCAATCGAAAACGAAAAATATGATTTGCTGATATATTATATATTTTGTAATAAGATCATAAAATTCTGCATTGCTGATATAAATATATATTTTGTAATAAGATCATAAATTAATATATATATTATCCACAATGCAAAGCCACAGAGTTTCAACTGCATCAGTTGTAGTTTTCTTAATTTCCCTCCATTTTTCGGCGAACCAAGTTTCGTCTACCGACACCCTCAAACCAGGCGGCGGTGGCGGCGAGTTCAACTCGTCTTCCCAACTCGTTTCCGCGAAGAAGATCTTCACATTAGGGTTCTATACACCAGAAGATACAAACAACACTTACTTAGCAATATGGTACACCGACGCTTCTCGATATCCATTGTGGATTGCCAACAGAGAAAACCCCGTTTCCAAGAACTCGAACCCGATTCTCCGAATCGGCACCACCGGAGAAAACCTAGTCATCGCCCACGGCGGCGGCAGCGGACTTTCGAGCTATACGCTGGCCAATCAGGGAAGAATAGGGGTGAAAGTCGGATGGATCGGATCGGAATTAGCCTTTTCGGAAAATTTCCAAAAAATTTCGGAAGTACAAAATCAATTCCAATTCCAATTCCAAAATTTTCGGAATCTCAAAATTCATTCCAATTCCAAAAGGCCCGGAAATTTCGGAATTTCGGAAAAAAAAAATCGGAAATCACATAAGCTTTAAAATTTCAAAACTTAGCCGAAATTTTCTAAAATGTTCATAATTTTTCAAAAATAAGAGCATCGACGTCGATAAAAGTAAAACTAATAACTACTAAATTTCAGTTCAAAAAAATAAATAAAAATAAACACATCATAATATCCAATAAAACTTCTAACAACAATTCATTATGTCAAAATCCTAAAACAAAACTTATAGGTGTATTTTTCGGAAAATAACTATTATATAATATATACTATTTATAGGTGTATTTTTCGGGAAAAAATCGGAATTTTTCGGAATTAATTTCGGAATTAAATTGGATCGGAAATCGGAAATTCCAAATTTATTTTATATAATTCCAATTCCAATCCAAAAAAATCGGAAAATTTCGGAAATCGGAATTTCGGAAGTCGGAATGAAATAAATTGTTCCAAAATCGGAACTTTTCGGATCGGAACCGGCGGAAATTGGAAAATCCGTTCCAACTTTCACCCCTAGGGAAGAACATATCAGCCACTTTGTTAGATACAGGCAATTTTGTAGTAAGCTCTGTTTCGGGTGAAGTGTTATGGCAAAGCTTCGATTACCCCACAGATACCCTTCTTCCTGGTATGAAACTAGGGTTTGATCGTAAAACCGGGAGAAATTGGACACTTTCTTCGTGGTTCGGACGAAATAATCCGGCCACCGGAGCTTATACTCTCGAGTGGGACCTGATTTCGGGCAGGCTGTTGGTTCGACGAAGAGGTGTCGTTTATTGGACGAGCGGCGAGATGAAGGATTATCGTTACGATGGCCAAGGGTTTGGAGAATTTACGGTTAAGGAGTTTGAGAATATGGATCCACCCGATCCTTTCAACCACAACTACAACTTCACAAACGTAAGTTACGACAGCGAGGAATACTTTACGTATTCGCTGATAAAAAATCAACGCGCGACGTCGGATAGACGGAAGGTTATTTCACGGTGGATGCTGAACTATCAGGGGGGTATATACGACATCGACAGGCCTACCATTGCAGACGCAGGGCTTTGTTACGGTTACAATACTGGTGGCTCTGGTTTCGACGCGGGCTGCGAACTGCGGGCCCAGCCTACATGCAGAAACGATCGCGAGACGTTTGTTTTCAAATCGGGGGATTTTAAGCCGGTTGATGGAAAATTTGTTCCGGTTGTTTATGACGGTAATTCGAGCCTTACTCAGAGTGACTGCAGGGAAATATGTTGGAATGATTGCGAATGCGCTGCGTTTATTGATGCGCCCGTAAGTGGTGGATGTTCGTATTTGAGAGGCGAGAATTTGGAGTTTGTGCAGAGTCTTGATGGCTCTGCTACACCAAAGTACTTTCTTGAATCTGCATCTTCGAGAAAAGGTTTCGTTTTTATGTATTATTATATATTTATATGATGTTATGTGAGGAAATTGATCGACTTTATAATTTTTTTTTAGCTAACTGAAATTTCTTCGTATTGTTCGGTTATGACAGGAATGGAGAAACATGTGCAGATTGTCCTCATTGTAGTTAGTACAGCAGTGCTGCTTGCCTTGGGTGTAGCCTTGTTCGTTTTACGTAAACTTAAACAAGGTATAGTTATAGATTAGTCGATTTTTTTTTATTTTTTTTCCGGATTATAATTTGGATAAAATATTTGTTAGCGAAAAAAAAGAAGGAATTAAAGGAGCTGCTGACACTAGACGGATACACGGGAACGAATTACGGGTTCGAAAATGGAGGTGGCAAGAATAACGATCTTCGACTTTTCACTTATGCGTCTGTGCTATCAGCTACAAACAACTTCTCCTCGGACAATAAACTCGGACAGGGGGGTTTCGGCCCCGTTTATAAGGTGGTAAAATATCTCGTAAATTTTTCGTGTTTTGATTATTCACCCAATTTTCGTATTAGAATCTCTTGATTAGAATTATATGTTTCTTGATTATTATTACAGGGGAAAACATCAGAAGGACACGAAATAGCAGTAAAGCTTCTTTCTCGACAATCGGGGCAAGGATTGCTCGAGTTCAAGACCGAGTTAGTACTGATTTCGAAACTGCAGCATGTCAATCTTGTTAAGCTACGGGGATTTTGCATTCATGGAGACGATAAAATGATTATCTATGATTACATGCCCAACAAAAGCCTCGATTTCTTTCTCTTCAGTGAGTGCCTTCTACTTTCTTCGACTATTCTTAATGAGATAGTACCGAAAAAAAATTGATCTACGATTAACATTACATAATAAACAGATCCATCTAAGAGGGAGGAATTAAATTGGCAGCAGCGGTTCAATATAATCGAGGGCACTGCTCAAGGACTACTCTACCTTCACAAGTACTCTCGATTGAAGATTATTCACCGCGACTTAAAAGCGAGCAATATATTACTTGATGAAAATATGACTCCCAAAATCTCCGATTTTGGGCTTGCGAGAATCTTTAAGCAGAACATAGACGAAGCTAACACGGAGAGGCGTGTCGGGACATAGTAAGTGGTGAAATTAGCTTCGCACGTTAAATCTGTATGATTTTGTTTTTTAACGATATTCTTATTTGACTTAACAATGAGTTTTATGTTTCGTAGTGGTTACATGGCGCCCGAGTATGCAATGCAAGGAATATTCTCGGTTAAATCAGATGTCTATAGTTTCGGAGTTTTAGTGCTCGAGATAGTCAGTGGTCGGAAGAATAGTAGCTTCCACGAAATCGAAGGTCCTCTAAACCTGGTCGAATACGTAAGTTCGCTCTAAGACTCTCTCTCTCTCTCTCTCTCGAAATGTTAACAATGGAACTTACTAATGTTACAGGCTTGGGATCTATGGAGAAAAGATTCTGCAATAGAAGTGATGGATCGAACGTTGAGGGATTCATGCATTATAGACCAACTGCACAAATGCATTCACGTCGGGCTTCTATGTGTTGAAAACCATGCGATCGATCGGCCAAACATCGAAGATGTTATATCAATCCTAAAAAACGAGTTGACGAATTTGCCACTGCCCAAGAATCCAGCATTCATTACACGAAACAGTGTGATTGAAGAAGTAGAAACGAGTACTACGCCGCTCGTGAATTTATCCGCGAACGAAGTCACAGCGACGGAAATAGGAGGGAGATAGTACTTCAACCTAGCTAATTAGGCTCTTCCTTTTCTAATTGATATATAATGTATTTATGATGATATATATATTTTTTTCCAGAAAATTGGTTTATTTTCGGGCTTCGATTCCGAGATCAGCTGCCGGTAAAATTCTTCGACGGGAGCTGAGGAACTTATTACCTTACAGGCTGTAAGTATGTAAGCAAGAAGCATTGTTCAGAAGGCATGGATTAATCATTTTTTTCTTTTTATTTTCTAATCAAGAAAATTAAACATCGATAATTATTTGTATACAGTAGAATCTCGATAAATTAATAACTTCGCTTAAATAACAATTTTTTCTGGTCTCAACTCGGTATAACCGTACTAAATTACTGGTTCGATAAATTAAAATTTCATTAAATTAATGGAATTCCGTTAGTACCGCATATATTAATTTATAAATGTTTAACTGTATTTGTTGAAGATAATGCACGATCAAATTCTAGTGATTTACTTAAACTAAATTATTAAAATCAAGCACAACCTCATGATATTAATTGTATATACTATTGAAAATAATACATTGTTTTCATTATTTTAATTTTTATTAGAGGTATTCTTAACAAATTTATTAGGGGTATTCTTATAATTTTATTCAAGTCAACGGCCAAAATGTAGGGGGCGGTGTGCCATTTAAAAACAACATATGTGGGTCCTTTACTAATATTTTTAATATTGGGATGTTTTCGCTAATTAGAGATTTTATAGGGTGGTCCTTGCCAAAAAAGCCGTCACAATAACTAATGTGAAGAATTGTTTAATATTTCAAATTAATAAATGTAAGGTAAATTACTGTCACTCCCTGAGGTAATCACAAATTACGAAAAAAGCCCTCTTATTTTAGGTAATTACAACCACCTCCATTTACTATGAATCTTCTTGCACGTTCACCATTGTGGGGTCAAATTTAGTGGAATATTCTTCAGTTTATATGCTATACTCGTTTTACCTCATTTCAACTCCACATTTTAAAATAAGATGATCATAAGATGTGTCTTTTGGCTTGTAAATATCAGATTGTAGTGCATCACAAACTTCATCATTGCACATAACGAGTACAAACTAGAGAACATTTCATACAATCTAGAAGATTATGATTAATTTGACAACATAAGGGTGCACATGTAAGAAGATTCATAGTTGAAGGGGTTGGTTGTAATTTTTAAAAAATGAGGGGTTTTAGTAATTTGACATTAGCTTATTGGGGTATTCTCATAATTTTCATTTAAGTCAAACAGCCAAAATGCAAGGGGCGGTGTGCCATATAAAAAAACATTAGGGTGTTTTCGGTAATTACAGATTTAACAGGGTGGTCCTTGCAAAATGTGAACCCCCATTCACCATTGATGACAAGTGCAAGACTTTTTCTTTCTCTGATAATTCAATTGAAAACGAAAATTATGACCTTTTCAAAAACAAAAACAAAAAACAACTACTGCATTGCATTTTGTATTGCATGCTGATATATATATATATATATATATATATTTTGTAATCATTGTTCATCACTAAATTAAATTTATATATATTATCCACAATGAAAACCCAGAAAGCTTCAATTACACCATTTGTTTTCTTGATTTCCCTCCATTTTTTGGCAACCCAGGTTTCGTCGATCGATACACTCAAACCAGGCGGCGACGAGTTCAACTCGTCTTCTCAACTCGTCTCCGCGAAGAAGATCTTCACGTTAGGGTTTTACACCCCGGAAAACACAAACAACAGCTACTTAGCAATATGGTACACCGATGGTTTGTACTCTCCTGTTTGGATTGGCAACAGAGAAAACCCCTTTCCCAAGAATTCGAACCCGATTCTCGCAATCGGCACCACCGGAGAAAACCTAGTCATCACCCACGGCGGCGGCGGAGAATCTTTCGAGCTGTATTCTGGCCAATCAGGGAAGAACATATCCGCCACTTTGTTAGATACAGGCAATTTTGTAGTAATCTCTGTTTCAGGTGAAGTGCTATGGCAAAGCTTTGATTACCCCGCAGATACCCTTCTTCCTGGTATGAAACTAGGGATTAACCATAAAACTGGAAGAAATTGGACACTTTCTTCTTGGTTCGGACAAAATAATCCGGCGACCGGAGCTTTTACTCTCGAGTGGGACCCGATTTCAGGCAGGTTGTTGGTTCGACGAAGAGGTGTCGTTTATTGGACGAGCGGCGAAATGAAGGATTATTATTACAACGGCCAAGGGTTGGGAGATTTTAGGGTTAAGGAGTTTGAGAATATCAATCCAAAACCTGATCCTTTCAACCTCAACTATAACTTCACTAATGTAAGCAGCGAAAACGAGGAATATTTTACGTATTCTCTGATACAAGTTCCAAATTGGACGCCCGAGAAGCGGAAGGTTATTTCAGGATGGATGCTAAGCTATCAGGGGAATATATATGACAATGACAGGCCTTTCATTGCAGATGCAAACCTTTGTTACGGTTACAATACTCGTGGCTCCAGCTTCTACACGGGATGCGAATTGTGGGCCCAGCCAGAGTGCAGAAACGACCGCGAGACGTTCGTTTTGAAATCGGGGGATTTTAGGCCGGTCGATGGGAAATCGGTACCGTCTGTTTACGACAGTAATTCGAGCCTTACTCTGAGTGATTGCAGGGAAATTTGCTGGAATGATTGTGAATGTGTTGCTTATATTGATGCCGATCGATCAGATGGTTGTGTGTATTGGAGGGGCAAGAATTTGGAGTTCGAACAGAGTCTTGATGGCTCTGCGGTTAGAAAATACTTTCTTGAATCTGCATCTTCAAGCAAAGGTTGGGTTATTATATATTATATGATGTTGTGTGAGAAACCTGGGTTTTTTTTTTTTTTTTTCTTGGGCTCAAATACGATTAGCCTGCTAATCGAATTTCTTGATATTGTCCGTGATAGGAATGAAGAAACATGTAAAGATCATACTTGCTGTAGTAAGTGCAGTAGTGTTGCTTGCCTTGGGCGTAGCTTTTTTCGTTTTGCGAAAATTTAGACAAGGTATAACAATAGTTTGCTCGTTGGTTTTACGGATTATGAATTCTTATGTTTCAACTTGTAATAATTTTGGATGACCATCTCACAGGAAAAAGGGAGGAAGAATTGCGTGAACTGCTGATGTTAGAGGGATACACAGGAACTTACGGGTTTGATAACGATGGAGGCAAGAACCACGATCTTCGACTTTTCACTTATGCATCCATTGTATCTGCTACAAGCAACTTTTCCTCGGAGAATAAACTCGGGCAGGGTGGTTTTGGCCCTGTTTATAAGGTGATTAAGTTGCTCCGAAATATTTCTCAGACATGGATTAGTAGAACCATCTTATTTGATACTCATGGTTTACTACAACTTATGTTTCTTGATAATTATTACAGGGGAAAACATCAGAGGGACACGATGTAGCAGTAAAGCTTCTTTCACGACAGTCGGGACAAGGATTGCTCGAGTTCAAGACCGAGTTAGTACTGATTTCGAAACTGCAGCACGTCAATCTTGTTAAGCTACGGGGATTTTGCATTCATGGAGACGACAAAATGATCATCTATGATTACATGCCAAATAAAAGCCTCGATTTCTTTCTCTTCCGTGAGTGTCTTCTACTTTCTTGATTTTTTTTGTTAATGAGTTGATATGAAATAGGTATTTATTTTGGTTAACATTCATAATAAACAGATCCATCTAAGAGGGAGGAATTAAATTGGCAGCAACGGTTTAATATAATCGAGGGGACTGCTCAAGGACTACTCTACCTTCACAAGTACTCTCGATTGAAGATAATTCACCGTGACTTAAAAGCGAGCAATATATTACTTGATGAAAATATGACTCCCAAAATTTCCGATTTTGGGCTTGCGAGAATCTTTAAGCAGAACACAGACGAAGCTAACACGGAGAGGCGTGTCGGGACATAGTAAGTTGCAACCTTAGTTAGCTTCACACATTTTATTTCTGTGGCTGTGTTTTTAATTTTGAATGATTATTTTTATTATGACTTAACAATGAATCGTATGTTTCGTAGCGGTTACATGGCGCCCGAGTATGCCATGCAAGGAATATTCTCGGTTAAATCGGATGTCTATAGTTTCGGAGTTTTAGTACTCGAGATTGTGAGTGGTCAGAAAAACAGTAGCTTCCACGAAATCGAAGGTCCTCTAAACCTGGTCGAATACGTAAGTTTCCTTTAGTATATCTCTCTCTCTCTCCGGATCTCGAAATGTTAACAATGGAACTTACTAATGTTGCAGACTTGGGATCTGTGGAGAAAAGATTCTGCAATAGAACTCATGGATCGAACGATGAAGGATTCATGCATTGTTGACGAATTGCAGAAATGCATTCACATCGGGCTTCTATGTGTTGAAAACCATGCGGTGGATCGACCAGACATCGAAGAAGTTATATCAATGCTTAAAAATGAAATGACTAATTTGCCATTGCCCAAGAATCCAGCATTCATCACAAGAAACGGTGTGGTTGAAGAAACAAAAAAGAGCACTATGCCGATGAACTTATCATCGAACGAAGTCACGTTGTCTGAAATACGAGGAAGATAGGATGATTACAACCCAGTCAAAAGTGACATGCTTAAAATTGTTACATATGTATATATCAACCATGTAAAATATGTTTATTCAATTTAAATCAAAATCCTTGTCTATAATTGCTAAATAACAAATAAATCATATTTTTCATAGTTAAGGGTTGGCACGAGACTGAGTCTTACATATTTTCCATGGGTCGTGTCTTGGGTTTTGGCTGCCATCCATAGGCATTCTTGAATACTTGACCATATTTTGTTGACCAAAAAATCGGATTTGACATTTGACCATCTTCTAGGCACACTACCAGAAATACATAATAAAATGTCGAAATTTAGTTGTTTTACATTTTTTTAATTTTTTATTTTTCAATTTCTTTTTATTTCAATATTCATTTATCTTTTTACAGTAGAAGGCGAATGCGCACAAAAAAATAAGGTGGTGTTTGCAAATGCTTTTTGAAAGTGATTATGCGGTTTTTTTTTCTCATAATCTGTTTTTAGGTGTTTGCAAAATCAACTTTTGCTTTTGCTTCTCTTAAAATAATCGGTTTCTAACCCTGCTTTTTCAATTTTAGTTCATTTTCCGAAATATTTGCAAACACCCCCAACTTTTAGAAATAAGCACTTAAAACTAACTTAAATCACAATCACTAACTTCTGCTTTTAAATAATCATTTGCAAACACCACCTAAGAAGTAAACAAAGAAAATGTGAAATTACAAAAACCCAACACACGAAATATTGGATGAATTTAAACAAACAAAAGCCAATTTAATTTATGAGTATATTTGTCATTTCATCTTAATAAAATAAAATCTTTTGGAATTTTTCTGCTTGCTTTCGTTAAATCGACAGTTACGTAATGAATTCAATAACGTCGACAACGCAACGAAAAGTACTAGTCGAAGAATTTTCTGGTCAGACGCCGACCACAGGTATTTGTTTTCGTCTTCCTCAGCTTTAACTGCATCACAAATTCTCTGCATAATTAATTAAATTAATTAATATATCCAGTGCTAATGGATACTCACAAAGCTTCAATTGCACCACTTGTTTTCTTGATTTTTCTCCATTTTTTGGCAACCCACCAGGTTTCATCGATCGACACCCTCAAACCAGGCGGCGGCGGCGGCGACGAGTTCAACTCATCTTCTCAACTCGTTTCTGCGAATAAGATCTTCACGTTAGGGTTTTACACCCCAGAAGACACTAACAACACTTACTTAGCAATATGGTACACCAATGCTTCCGATTATCGAGTGTGGATTGCCAACAGAGAAAACCCCATTCCCAAGAACTCAAACCCTGTGCTTACAATACCCGCCACCACCGGAGAAAAACTGATCATCACCCACGGCGGCGGCGGCGGAGAATCTTTTGAGCTATATTCTGGCCAATCAGGGAAGAACATATCCGCCACTTTGTTAGATACAGGCAATTTTGTAGTAAGCTCTGTTTCAGGTGAAGTGTTATGGCAAAGCTTTGATTTTCCCACAGATACCCTTCTTCCTGGTATGAAACTAGGGTTTGACCGTAAAACCGGGAGATATCGGACACTTTCTTCGTGGTTTGGACGAAGTAATCCAGCCACCGGAGCTTTTACTCTCGAGTGGGACCCGATTTCAGGGATGTTGTTGGTTCGACGAAGAGGTGTCGTTTATTGGACGAGCGGCGAGATGAAGGATTTTCAGTACGACGGCCAAGAGGGGGGAGATTCTAGGGTTAAGAAGTTTGAGAATATCGTACCTGATTCTTCAAACTTCAACTATAACTTCACCAATGTAAGTTACGATGGCGAGGAATACTTTACGTATTCGCTCATAAAAGATCGGTGGACGCCCAATTCTCGTAAGGTTATTTCGGGGTGGAGGCTGGGCTTTGACGGGCGAATAGACGACACTGGCAGGCCTGTTTTTGTAGATGTAAGCCTTTGTTATGGTTACAACACTCGCGGCTCCGATGTTTACGCGGGCTGCCGACTGTGGCAGCAGCCTATGTGCAGAAACAATCGTGAGACGTTTGTTGATAGAGCGGGGAATTTTTTCAGGGCCAATGGAACGTTTGTTGCATTCGTTTCTGACGATAATTCGAGCCTTACGCAGAGTGACTGCAGGGAAATATGTTGGAATGATTGTGAATGCGCTGCGTTTCTTGATGCGCCCTTAAGTGGTGGTTGTTGGTATTGGAAAGGCAAGGATTTGAATTTTACTCAGAGCCTTAATGGTCGTACTACAGTACAATACGTTCTTCAGTCGGCACCTTTGACCGTTCTTCCATCGGCACCTTTGAGCAAAGGTTTGGTTATTACTTATTATATGATGTTACTCGAGAAATTACAACTGAGTTTTGGCCTAGCTAACTGAATTTCTTGATGTTGTCGATTGTGGCAGGAAAGAAGAAACATGTGCTGATCGTAATCGTTGTAGTAAGTATGGTAGTGCTGCTTGCCTTGGTTGTAGCCTTGTTCGTTTTGCGAAGAAGTAAAGAAGGTAAAGCAATAGATTATTACAAAAAGAATTCGCTATCTTCATAGGAATTAGCTTCTGATAATAATTTGGATAAAATATTTGATAGCGAAAAAAAAGGAGGAATTAAAGGAGCTGCTGACACTAGAGGGATACACGGGAACTAATTACGGGTTCGAAAATGGAGGGGGCAAGAGTGACGATCTTCGACTTTTCACTTATTCATCTGTGCTGTCTGCTACAAACAACTTCTCCTCTGACAATAAACTGGGACAGGGTGGTTTTGGCCCTGTTTATAAGGTGGTGAAATATCTCGTAAATTTCCGTGTTTTGATTACTCACTGCATTCGCGTTAGAATCTCTTGATTAGAATTATATGTTTCTTGATAATTATTACAGGGGAAAACATCAGAAGGACACGAAATAGCAGTAAAGCTTCTTTCACGACAATCGGGGCAAGGATTGCTCGAGTTCAAGACCGAGTTAGTACTGATTTCGAAACTGCAGCATGTCAATCTTGTTAAGCTACGGGGATTTTGCATTCATGGAGACGACAAAATGATCATCTATGATTACATGCCCAACAAAAGCCTCGATTTCTTTCTCTTCAGTGAGTACCTTTTACTTTCTTCGACTATTCTTAATGAGATAGTACCGAAAAACAAATTGATGTACAATTTGCTTTACATAATAAACAGATCCATCTAAGAGGGAGGAGTTAAATTGGCAGCAGCGGTTCAATATAATCGAGGGCACTGCTCAAGGACTACTCTACCTTCACAAGTACTCTCGTTTGAAGATTATTCACCGTGACTTAAAAGCGAGCAACATATTACTTGACGAGAATATGACTCCCAAAATTTCCGATTTTGGGCTTGCGAGAATTTTTAAGCAGAACACAGATGAAGCTAACACGGAGAGGCGTGTTGGGACATAGTAAGTTGCAACATGATACATTTTAATTTTTTTATGGTTGTGTGTTTTAATGATATTTTTATTTGATTAATAATGAATCGTATGTTCCGTAGCGGTTACATGGCGCCCGAGTATGCCATGCAAGGAATATTCTCGATTAAATCAGATGTCTACAGTTTCGGAGTTTTAGTACTCGAGATTGTGAGCGGTCGGAAAAACAGTAGCTTCCACGAGATCGAAGGTCCTCTAAACCTGGTTGAATATGTAAGTTTTTATTAAGATATTTTTTTGGTGGTTTTATCTCTCTTTCTCTCTCTCTCTCTACATCCGAGAATTTGAACTATGGAATTATTATGCAGACTTGGGATCTATGGAGAAAAGATTCTGCATCAGAAATCATGGATCAAACATTGACGGATTCATGCATTACAGACCAACTGCAGAAATGCATTCACATCGGGCTTCTCTGTGTCGAAAATCATGCGGTGGATCGGCCAACTATCGAAGATGTCATACTGATGCTAAAAAATGAAATGACTAATTTGCCACTGCCAAAGAATCCAGCATTCATCACAAGAAACAGTGTGATTGAAGAAGTAGAAACGAGTACTACGCCGCTCGTGAATATATCCACGAACGAAGTCACAATGTCGGAAATCGGAGGGAGATAGTAGTAGTACTACTGCAACCCTAGTTAAGGCCTTCCTTCTTTTCTTGAGTGATTTTACTTAAATATCTGCATATGTAATCTAATAATATACTTGTATGAATATTTTTATATATTATATATATATTTTGGTCCTGAAAAGTTGGTTCACATTTCAAAGCCTTGTAATAATAATCTTGTAAAAATAATCATGGACATACTAATAAAGAATTCGATTTAAAGTAAACATCTCTCTCTTTTTCATAATAGTTCAAAAATTGCCCTGTAGACCGTGCCATATTCAGGCTTTAACAGTTAGTGCTTTACCTCAGTTCTCCTCCAGCTTCTTTTTACATAGTCTAAGCTAAAGGTGGAGTATTCCAAGATGTAAGTCTCTCTCTCTCTCTCTCTCTCTCTCTCTCTGTGTGTATGTGTGTGTGTGTGTGTGTGTGTGTGTGTGTGTGTGTGTGTGTGTGTGTGTGTGTGTGTGTGTGTGTGTGTCTGTCTC